CAACATGTTACATACACAAAATATCATGTGCCCGAACACCCAGATCGGAAACAATCATTTACAGGGAAACAAATACTAATTCCGTGTGAGAATCGGCTGAGAACACACGGCTGCCGGCGTTGAAGCTTGGAAACTGCGCCATGGAGACACAACATACAAACATTAAAGCCATAATCACTACATAGTATAAAACAAAGTCGTCCCGCTGTCTGTCTGTCCCTATGTATGCATAGATCTTTAAAGCTACGCAACGGATCTTGGTGCGGTTTCTTTACTAGATAGAGTGATTTAGAGGAAGGTTTATATGTATAATACATTGCATCTGTGCGAAGCCGGCCGGGTCGCTAGTTTTAGTATATAAGATTAAACAGTTAATAAAAACTAAACAATTCAGCGTTTTTCATTTCATTATTTTTTGTTTAAAGACAAATTCAGCATTGTATTTGGGCAAAAGTAGTGACAGAAAAAGACTATTATCCTACTATTATTTTATATTAAGGGCACAAATTGTTTGTTCACTCTTTTATCGAGCATTTTGTAATTGACGTTTAATTAAATCTGCATTAACACGTCGTTAGCTATCATCTAAGATAAGCATTGGTTTGAAAAAATCGGCTTACCATGATCGATAAAATTCGTGGAGCCCACGATACCAACAATCTTATTATTACGTTAATAATCTCACGAAATCTTTAGTTATTTTAATACTCGTTTGATTCAATCAGCCTCTTCGAGTGAAGCGAATACAAGTTCGCAAAAATCCCAAGGTCCGTTGTGAAGCCGCGACCGACAATGGGCGAGATGTCTCCAATGGCGCTGTGCCAACGCGACGATTTTCGCGACACAGGCTGGCAACATTCAGGGGTTATTGGCAGAGCGGGGAACCACGATAATGGCGTCTATATTTAACCGCTGTCTGTCCGCTCGTCGGAGAGCGAAACGGGTTCAACTTTGCCAGTTAGACCACCGTGGCATTCCCGGTTTTCGTTTGTGAGGTTAGAGCGGAAGTGTCAAGGGCTGCTGCACTTTTACGCTTTCGCATTGTATGATCAATTTTTTTATTAGGTCTATTGTCTGTGCGCAAGATAATTATATTTCCGGATAGTACACATTTTTACACAACATTCTCTAGTCCCAAACTAAGCAACGCTTGTACTATGGGTACTAGATAACTGATAAATACATACTTAAACATACTTTTCTTTTGTAAATAAATACATATTATAAATATATAAACACCCAGACACTGGAAAAACATTTTTTTCACACACAAAATTTTTCCAGTAGTGGGGATCGAACCCACGCCCTGCGGCGCAAGTGCCACTACCAATTAGTAGTATTTACCCTATAATGTGATTTTTTAGATAATAACAATGTCTCGACGGGTCGCACAAGGCGCAGATTTTTGTCCATTTGTCACCAAAAGAAATCGCATTGTACATTTATTCGCGAAACCCGAGTGAGGATTTTTGGCCGCAATGCAAACGTTGGCAACGCACTACAACCCCCGCTCCGCTAGTATTGTGGAAATAAATGGGCGCATGCATGTATAAGCTACATTCTTACTTACTTACTCAACCTTCTTAACTTTATGGTACGCACCATAAAGTTAAAAAGTTAAGTAAAACCTTATACATGTCCCAGTGCTGGGCAAAGGCCTTCTCTGCACAGAGGTAGTAGCATAGTCCGCCAGGCGACCCCACTGCGGATTGGCAGATTTTCGAATTTTTATTTCGTTATTATTTTGTAAATATGCACGTTACCTCACGATGTTCTCCTTCACCGGTGAGCACGTGATAAGTGAGCTCACTTAACACTAACAATTTCATTGGTAATGGGATTCTAACTCAGGTTTTACTCGAGGAACACTTTTAAAAGAACACTGGTTCCTTCCAAGGAATTAAAAAGGACGGAACGCTATTGAATTTAAAAAAAACACCCTAATTTCTATAATGAATAGGGTTGAGTGCTACAATCATGAAGCTGGTTGACGCATGAGATGTTCTAGAAGTATCGAAAAGAATATTACGAATATAAATGAGAAAAATAGCCAAAACGGTCATTAGGTTCTCGTTACTCTGAAAATATTTATTGTACGTGACTCCAATTGGAGAAGCGTTGCGAGCGAAAGGGACAACAATCGTTTCTTACATAACACGCAAGTGCGAAAGGGATACCCGATTTGAGGCATTGACCGTGCCGTAGACACGGCGGCAGCCAGTCTGTCGCCTAGGCAAAGGCTGTGTATACACTATAAAGAAAAACTTGGATACGTTTGTCGAAGCAAAAGTTAGTTAAGCAAAATACTTTTCTTGGTCTTTTGTTAACTGAAAATAAACTTTACAAAGAAGCATTACTTTACGAGAGAATTTGGTAAACTAGCAAGGTGGTAAATGGTTACCGTGGCCCGTGTAATCTTCAAAACCCGCTGGTTATAACTGCTTCGCTAATCTTTAAGAGGTCGCCACTCACTATATGAAAAATATACTCTACTTTACGACGAACTTCTATGGGGCCCTGGTACAAAAGGTAGCAGGTGGCTTAGACTATAGATGTGATGTATATATACATATATATTTTATGATGTCTCAATTGACTGGGGACTATCTATATAGAAAGTTCAAATGGCTTTCGATTTATAATTTTATTGATTTGTATTGACGATCATAGTACGTACACTAATAAGATATCCAAAAATTAAGGCGACACGGCTTAACTGTGATTAATACGAACACAGTTCGGTATGCAGCTGTTAATTGTTCGACGTAAGGAGTTTAAAAACAAATCAAAAGGAACAGTTTAATTTAAACATGCGTCGTAGTGTCGGCGTAAATACAAAAAATCATTAAATGTTATTACGGAATGAATTAAAGAGCTCGGACACTGGATATGACCAGGTCTCAACGTTCGATATGATTCAATAGATAGTGCAGCAAAACCCGATTATTTTGGACCCTGGTAAATAAGGAAATATGCTGCTGATGTTTATAGCGAGGTCCCTAAAATTTTCCATCGAAATAGCCACCTCGTTAAGTGAATACCGCCGCCTGTGGTACCTTACGAACCTATATATATAATTTGACGATTCACAAGAATGCGCAAGCGTCTATTTGAATAAATATATATTTGATTTGATTATGCACATCTACAAGCCTGAGAGATTGCAGATCTATGCCCCACTTACGTCACACGTATGAAACACGTATTTATAATACTATACATGCCGGTCATACTACTGGGCCTACCGTGGTACTACTTCGGGCAGCCTATCCATTCTTGCAACAGCAGAAATTGCTCCGTGGCCCGATCACAGCCTAAAGAATTATGCCATGTCAACTTAACGAGATTCCAATCTACTGAATAAATATCTGTACATCCGTGAAGTGTAGTGTATAATTTGTGGCTTAAGATCCCAAAGAGGGACCGAATTACGTAATATCAGGAACTGGGTGACTCCATAGTACACGAATGCGACTTGTATCGGTTACTTTATCAAATTAAAAACACTCGCTGCCCTAACGAAGGAATCCTTTATGCAATATTAATTCACCCCTCTCGCGCAAGAAATCGATATCTTCGGTCGCGTGTACCGACACGACACGTGGAAACGACAGGTTCAGAGGGCAGATAATCGACTCACTCATTCCGAAACGATATTGCGTATTCGATGGCCAAATCGTACTAACTGCTGAACTACATTCATCGAAAAGTATGTTTCCTTCTATATTCCGCGCACGTACGGGATAGATATTCCGACAAAAAAAGGTTGGTAGGAAAAAACCCAATTAAAGAACAATATGGTGGCACTGAAATAAATTGTCACTCTGCGTTGTGCGTTGTCACTCTGCTAAAATTATTTCCAAATACCAAAATTTATTATAATTAACGACTAAGGCATATTTAGATTTTTTATGTGAGAAAGTGAAAGTGAGTCGCCGCCCATTGGCATTGGTAACACTTACGCCCGGTTTCTGAAACACTGATCATCGTAGATGTCAACTAATCAGCCGTCAAATGGCTTTTCAAATTTCATTTTAGTTGCCAAAAGGACGGTTACACTCTCTGAATTGACCAGAATGATCTTCTAATGATCAGAACGATCAATCCAAAGAGTTTAACCGTCCTTTTGGCAACTAAAATGAAATTTGAAAACCATTTGACAGCTGATTAGTTGACATCTACGATGATCAGTGTTTTAGAAACCGGCCGTTAGGGTTGCAGATGCGAAGCTACCTTGATCAAGTCCGTCCGGGTAAGAACCACGACCTTACGGAAGACGAGCGTGAAGTGGAAGTTATAATTCTATGTTTCGTCTGGCGAGTGAGGTAGCCGGGGACACTTTAAAAGGGTGGCAACGTGTGCAACCCTACGGGTGCTGCAAATGTCAAAGAGTAGCGGTTATCACGTAACATCAGGTGAAACGCCAGCTCTCTTGCCACCTCACATAAAAAATGACTGTTCGTGTGATCCCGCGAGCTCTACTTACAAGTCTGACATCCCACTCACGATGCTCGTACTAATAGAGCAATGACTACCCTATTGGCGCCATCCCCTAGTGGGTTCTATCCCCACTGCTGTGAAAAATGTTGCGTGATAAACATTGCGTTTTTCCAGTGTCTGGGTGTTTATATATTTTCAATACGTATTTATTTACAAATGAAAAACTTTGAATGTTTAAGTATGTTTATCGGTTATCTAGTACCCATAGTAAAAGCGTTGTTTAGTTTCGGACCGTAAAAATGTGTCTTTATAACTATATTATATATTTATTACTAGCGCGTTGAAGCCCTTAAATAAATATCTCACTATATATATTTTAAAAAAAAGTTATTTTCAAGCAAATTTTAAAAAAATTGCGTATGTAAAGGACACAGGCTCTAAACTACCTGTGTACCAAATTTCAGTAATTTTGGCATGAAAGCGAGCGAGACAGACAGAGTTACTTTCGCATTTATAATATTAGTATGGATAATGATTCACGGGCTTGATGCTTGTTCCAGCACGGCATCGGCGTGGAGTTGGTGCGAGCCCTCGACTGCCACCCGCCGAATGTCTCCAACGTGTTCTGCGAGTGCGACTCCAAGGATGATGTCGTGAGTAATAATAATAACAATGTTTATTAATATAACTTAAAAATATAAATAATATAACTTAATCAAAAGCGTAAGGCCGCGACGTGACGCGGAATGCCGAATACGTGGGTTCATATAATAAAAATATTAAAGAATTAAAATTTATTTTTTTATTAATTAACAGAGGCATTAAAAGTACAGGTAAGAGGAGATAAACGCCCGGTTTCTGGAACACTGATCATCGTAGAAATTAACTAATCAGCTGTCAAATGGTTGTTCAAATGTCAATTGAGTTGCCAAAAGGACGGTTACACTCTCTGAATTGATCAGAATAATCTTCTGAATGATAAGAATGAAATGAAACTCGAATGGCATATGAAAAGCCATTAGCCGATGCTGATTAGTTAATTTCTACGATGATCAGTGTTTCAGAAACCGGGCGTAAGTCAAGTAGGTCGAGGAATAGAGTGAGAGTAAGTACTTCAGCGTCATGTAGATTGAAAAAAGGATGCGACTTGACATGGTTATTCGTATTTACGACCGTTTTTACCGATTCAGTTTTATTCCATTAAAAAACTTCCTCGACTACATTTCAAAAATGTCGTGTTTTATAAGGAAATTTTAACGTACACAAATTTGCGCGTATTAAAATTGAAACATGTAATCCATTTATACATTTCATTTTTAAGAGAGCAATGGGTTGCCATATAAATGTGTACATAGACAAAAATAATGCGTGCATTGTTTTTATTGGCTGATTTATGTTTTCTGGAACGACGCCAAACTGAACGCCCGTAGTGGCACAGTTGTCATGTACATACGCACAAATATATTACGTAACTGAACACAATTAATCGCACTATGTTTACTTCAGCTTGACTCTATCATCAATATTCGTTTGCGATAAAATGGAATCTATATTTAGGTATACAGACAGGATATTTTATGACTTCTGTAACTAAGCCCGTACTAGGAAACAACTCCCGTGTCGCGGGTGGTTTCACAAACGGAAAATTACTGACAATATCACAAACGGACAATTAGCTCCTTGATCGGACCATTTATTTATGGAGCAAACAAATGTTTGTTCCGCATAGGTATCAAACCCAGAATGCAGCGTGTAATGGCATTTGGCAAGGTACAACTTTGACATAGAGGTAGATCGAAGAATCCAACTCGGATGGGCAGCTTTCAGGAAATTAAGCGATATCTTCTCGTCCAAGATTCCACAGTGTCTAGTGTGTGTACAAAAATATGTCTAGGTATTAAAATATATGTACGATACTTCCTTGGTATAAAACAAATCTTTACATGGTAAAGAACTAAATCGCCCCCGATGTTTGTACGCTTAAATCTTTTACCCTACGCAACGGATTGCGGTTTTCAGGAATAGATAGAGTGTTTCAAGCGGAAGGATTATATGTTGTATACATGCACATTATAGTAGAGAAAATCCGAGAAATTCAATATCTACATTGCACCCGTGCGAAGCCGGAGTGGGTTGCTAGTTCTATATAAAAAGAAGAATGAATGATAGATAATACAAATATGTCTGTTAAAGATCGCTTCGGAGGCGCGGCGGCATAAAATTAGTTTATATATAAAAATTAATACCAAAATATTTTTTTACGTTTTTAATGTTGGTATAAACAAAAGGGTACTTAATCTGTGATGATGTATGCCGCTGAGACGTGTTCGCTAAAAGCTGGCCTTTTCATGAGCTCAGAAACACATAACGTGCTATGGACTACAATTTAAATGGAAAGTGGTACCAAAGCAGGCCACATCGCTCGAAGAAATGACCGATGGGCAATAAAAGTTGAGTGGCGACCACGAACCGGAAGACGTAGTGTTGGAAGGCCTTCCTCTAGGTGGACCCACGATATCAGAGTCGCGGGCCACCGGTGGATGCAATTGGCAGTTTCGTTTGTTGTGGCGTTAGCACCATCCATGCTGTCTAAATTGCTTTTACGATTCCATAGCATAAGGATGTCAAAATTTTTACTACACTGTTTTATTCGAAATGATTAGATCCCTTAATGAAAATCAAAAAAATCAAGAAATTACGGCAATCGAAAAAAGACTTATAAAATACGGTTTGGAATACGGTTATGCAAGATAAAATCTTATTACAACGTATTAAGGATTATTTTGCGCGAAGATATAATGTGCATTATATCATTATTTATTTCAACTAGACCATCAGAACGGAACACTCAATTACTTTGACATTGATTGCAGGATGTTGAGAGACGCGCGCCATTTTGACTGGTCACAGATTATACATAATTTGACTTTTATTTCATACGGCCTGTGTTATACAATCGGTTTTGCTTTTATCGGAAATAAGTCAATTATTTTTAATTACTATATTATTATACTCTTGTTTAACGGATATTAAAACTAAACATTAAAATAAATATAAAGTATAGCAATGCGTCATAATTAAACGGTTTTATTTAGCTCGCCCCGTACGGAATTTATTTGTTTATTTATTTGGGTCAAAATTAGAAATTGAAATTTAAGCACCTTCCCGTTGTCAGATTGATCTGAAATTTGGTACACACATTTAATTTAGATGACAATACAATATTGTAGTTTTCAGTGCACATAAAATAAAACCGTTTAACTTAAAAGTTTTTAAACGGTTTTATAACTCTAATACTTACTTAAAATTACATTAAATAAGCTATATGATTATTTTAGAAATCGGTTATCTGCTAAATATGTCAAATTTTATACAATTACTTGACAGATGACATCATGGTATTAACTGGCAAAAAGAATGTAATCACAACGTTTACTGTTAACTGTCACACACTGGTACACAATGATATAAAAAAATTAATTTGTGGGCCGCCTCACAAAAATGTTAAATATATAAATTAATAATGGAGAAAGACCATGGCATGTATTAAAAGCAAAAACTAAGGTAATAAGGAAATCGTAAAATTACGTAATCATAAGCTTACTACATTTAACAATTGTACATGTAACAACTCTTAACACCTATGCAGTTCAATTTAATACTGGGTTTTATTTCTTTTGATTTTGATGTTTTACTCCGGACATTTCTAACATAGCATCTGTGGCCATGGGATAGTTTGAGGTAGTTTATGTCCTAATTTTATAATAACACCGGACTACCGTCGAGCTTGATCAGGAGTTTTCTTTTTAATAACCTATATTCATCCCACTGCTAAACAAAGGCCTCCGCGGGTGTCAGGCATAGCTAGCCTACCACGCGACCCCATTGCCAATTGGCGGACTTCACATATCTTCGAAATATTTTTTTGTTATTATTTTTAAAATATGCAAGTTTCCTCACGATGTTTTCTTCACCGCTGAACACATGATAAATATTGATAATACTAGAGTAATTTATTGCTTTGCTTAATGTAATATTGGCCCTCTGTACAGAGGCCTTCGCACACCAGTGGGACACGTATATGCTACCTACATTAACTTTATTTTTTTTAACCAATATTTATAAGGGTAAGGGTAGCTGCCTGTCACTTAATTGGAGGATATTTTCGTTTACACAAAGCTTGTACTCATCGCCATTAAAACTGTGAGCGTTTTACGATATGCGTAGTAATTCCAAGCGTTTGAACATGTCTAATGATTCCTTGTTACCCCGTCTCTACCCCGCTGCGTACTTGACCGGCCCGTCTCTACCCCACTGCGTACTTGACCGGCCCGTCTCTACCGCACTGCGTAATTGATGACTCCGTGGCGCAGTCGCCAAGGTATCGGTTTCGGCGTCGAGGGTCGTGGGTTCGTTCCCCGCACGGGACAACTATTTGTGTGACCCACACACAGTTGTTTCGCATCTGGGTGTTTGTCCGCGTGAAATTCATGTTTGTAAAAAGTCCTTGCGACGCAGGATAACGTTGTCCGAGAGTAAGGACAATGTTTTAAAAGTAAATTGTAACTTATAGCGTGTGTTTCAGACCATCACCTGCGACTGCGAGGCGACGCCGGCCTTCCAACTGAAGGCGTTCAGCCAGCGCGGCGAGAAAGTGGAGGTGTCCCACTACCGCGTCAATGTCAACAGGTGGGCTTTTGCGTGAGAAGGTGGCAAGCCCATGGACGTTTGCAACACCCGTGGGGTTGCAGATCGCCGCCCGTGGACCAGATCAGTTTGCAACACGCGTAGCGTTGCAGATGTTGCCACCTTTTAATAAAGTGGTCCATATGCGGTATAACTTCCACCTCTCGCCGGTCTTCCGTGAGGTCGCGGTACTTAACGGACGGACCAGCCCATTCGTTCAACAGAAGACCGTTGCGTGGCCCTCTGTCGCGAAAAGAAGACGAATTAGGAAATAGCTTCTCGTTTCCGAGTGTGAATTTCCGATGATAATGAAATGCTAACTTGATAATTAACATTCTGATTTCCTGTTTATCTTTAACGTGAAGTAATAGGCGACGAGTAAAACTCTGTTTGCCTCTTCAACTCTTCGTCTCATAAGTTAAATTACACACGAGGAATTACGAGTCTCATTTTGGCCTATATTTTTTTTATTTTTTTTTTAATTTATTTATTAACATAGTAAATACTACATTACGGTTTACAATTGCATTGTAATACTTCTATAAAATAAATTTTAAAACATAATTGTGGATATATATATATATATATATATATGGGATCAGGAACTTTCTGGCGGTTACTAATCTTATCCGTTTCTGCTGTTTTCTTGTTATTGCAAGCTCTCGTATGCGAGTCTAACTAGTTTGTGCCCGTGACTTCATTTATGTGGTTGCATTAACAGAATAAAAAGGTGTACAAGAAACGAAAACGGATTCGAAATCTATATCGAAAAGTTATATACACGAAAATTTTAGCTAAAGTTATTGTTTTGGACATTAAAATATTCATTGCAATATTTTGAGTAAGTTTAAATTGTATCTCTAAGTAAGAAGATGGCACGCGAGATGGCGTTTCACCTGATGTTAAATGATAACCGTCGCCCATTGACATTTGCAACAACCGTAGGGTTGCACATGCGTTATCACCTTATAACATACGGTCGAATTAAGAAACCACCTTCTTTTTTGCAGTCGGTTAAAAATGGTTTTGTTATCATTTCTAGGTTCCGGGCGCGTCTCAACGTTGTCTGCATCACGGACAAGCTCACCGGCGAGTTGAAATGCGACGGCTGGCCCGAGGTCAAAGTGGCACTGGCCCCCGTTGGACCCCTGAGGCCCAATGCCACGGAGAGCAACCTCCAGCAAATCGTGAGGTAGGTCACATCACTATCACCGTAGAAGGCGGCGAACGAGCGGTCAGTACCTGATGCTGAGTAAAAATCCAACTACAACAGCTTTGGAATAGAATAGAAACCATTTAATCAAGACATCACACAACACCAATTTCCAAATGAAATATATAATTATAGTGTAGAGTTAGCAACTACAAAAATAACCAAGTGCGAGTACCATTATCTGTAAAAACGGCAGAAAAGAATCAAGTTTGTTGTATGGGATATTTGATAATTCTTTATTCTGTTTTTTAATATTTGCTGTTTATCATTCATCGATTCATGAAATTCAGCCTGGTGATCACGGACAGACAGACTGACAGACGGACGCGCAGATCCGGTTTGACCCCTTAGGTACGGAAGCCTAAAAAACAATAGGAAAAAGAAGAGAAAAATAAATTTGTACACGTATAAATAAAAATGGAGTTGCGCGATGCATGGAAAGCTCCCACCTCAGCATAATAACTGGCCAAGTGCGAGTCGGACTCGCGCACGAAGGGACATATAGACCACGTATAGTTGGTCACGCTAATAGTTGTCTTGTGGGAATCTTACTGACGACCCCAGCTACCCTCTTAATCTTCATCCATACATTTCCAATGTGTCCTCTGTCACCTGACCGCGGGTAAATGACGAATAAACGCCCCCAGCGACATAGTGGTGAGCGCCCTCCGCAACACCCAGTTGCAGTTCAACCTCGCGCCGTACCCCACTTGCCCGAGGCTGCGCCGCTACGCGCCGGAGTCGGCGCCGCGGCTGCCGCTACACTACGACTCTATGGTAACATTAATAATCGTTTTCAGGTCGTCTGCAAATGTCTCCAAAGGTTGGCAACATCTGAAACACCTGATTCGGTTGTGCCACTTCGGTTACCTCACTCATTAGACGGATGGCTTAGTGAAGTGACTGCCTATATGGCCCACTGCTGGGCAAAGGCCTCCTCTGTACCCTGTGCCGGATTAACCATATGACAAGAGTAGCAATTGCTACGGAACCCGCGTCAAAGGGGGCCCCGCGTGTTTAAGCCCATCCATCTATGCCTGAGACTGAATGCCTGAATTTTTTGAGTGAAACTTATTAAATAAATAAGAGTATTGATTGTTTTTTTTTGCTTTGGCTGTTTGAAAGAATTTGCTCGGCACTGTCTGTACAGAGGGTATCAGGGCATAGTCCACCACGCGACCCCACTGCGGATTGGCGGACTTCGCATATCTTCGAAATGTTGTTTTTTCGTTGTTATTATTATTATTTCGAAAATGTGCCGAGCATGTGATAAGTCAGCACTTAAAATTAAGTGGAAGTGTTACACTGCGTATTCACCGCAAGAAGAAAGAGAAAGAGGCATACTTTATTAAAAGGATACTTTATTAAAAGCGGTGACGCATCTGGAACCTACGTGTGTTGCAAATGTCAATGGCAGCGTCGGTTATCACTTCTTCGTGTGAACAGCCAGCTCGCTCGCCACATCACATAAAAAAAGTGGCAGCAGCGGAAAAGTTTAATCTACCCTCAGCGCCAATAAGTCTGTTTACAATCGCCGATGAGTGACTTGGGGACTGCCAGCTCGCACGCCTCTTCGCATAAAAAAATATGTGGCAACAGTGGAAAAAATAAAACTGAGGGTAGAAAAATTAAAACTACCCTCAGCGCCAGTAAGTCGGTGTGCATTCGCTGATGTGTGGTTGGGTTGGTTTCTTTTCAGCTGCAGCAGGATAGGCACATGTACACGTCCACGCCTAATTCCACCGCCGGCTCCATACGGCTTCTGGGCGACAAAAGACTCCTCGTCAAGGTCGTAGGCGCCAAGGATTTGGGAGGTGAGCACTTGCCATTCTTTAGCCGTTCGTGCAAAGTTCTTTGAAGACTTGCGAGTTCTTTATAGTTTTTGATTTTATTGTTTTTTGTTTTAGTTCTTGATTTTGACTAAAATCATCATAATTAATTTAGTATTTTGTATTACGTGTAGGTATATTATATATAGTCCATACGTATTTGAATACGTTTTGCTGAAATATTAATTGAACAATCAAACCTTTTTTAGTTGTATACCTATTTACTTGTCGTTTTATATATTTCTCGAAAAAAATTCATAGCCGAGAAATCTTTCTGAGAAGCTCACCATTATACTTGTCAATTTTCTCTCGTTTATTATCGAGTGTTATTGTATGTATAATAAATGGCGATAAAAAATGCTGTTCCAGGCAAGTCTGGCTGCTTGGCGCCGTACTGCGTGGTGGAGATGGACGAGCCCCCGCAGAGGAATCAGACCGGCTTCAAGAAGGACACCCTCTCGCCACAGTGGGAGGAGCACTTCCTATTGTGAGTCCGCCGGGTGTGCCCCGTCCATTAGTCCAAACCGAATAACTCGGCGAGTTTGTCTGACAGTAAAGTCCTTTCAAGTCTTTCGTTGTTGATTATTCTATTTCATCGATGTCTACCGCTTCGCTTAGTGGCTAGAGCGTCAGTCGTAAATCGGAAGGCGCGGCTTCGAAGCCCGGTAGCGGTGGAAACTTTTGCCACAGTATCAACACGCTTTTAAGTTTAAAATTAAGTGAAGAGACTAGCGCTAAGAAGTAAAGATTAAAAATATTTAAGCATGCTACTAGAATGTGGACCAGAATGCTATAGGGGGAAGCTTATATTAATGTGGGGTAGGCAGGGTAAGCGATTGACACTGATATATGTTAACGTCGTCTAGGATTTTGTTGTAAAAACGTATGCATTAATTTGAGATTTACTAATTATAGCTGTGGTTAATTGATTCCTAGTTTCATGTCATCCCAATCTGTTGAAAATCCATCCTTATTTTTAACAGCACACATAAGCGTACATACGTTTTCATGTATGTACTTAGAAGCAATTGCACAGATAATTTTGAAACAAGTAGTATTATGTGCAAGTTTTTTTTCCCCACTATGGCTCCACTGATACGTCAGTGATTTTGCCAATGACTTGGTACTTGGAGATCGACTAGGCTGAGGACGTGACAATAATAACCTACTGTAAACCTGTGTTAAACGACTTTCAGTTGCGTACTTGTAAAGAGAGGAACAAAACACCTCATTAGTAATCAGTAACACACGGTCATTAGTGTTCGTTATACAGGGAGATTTTTTTGTGAAGTGTCCAAATTTACACAGGAGGTTCAGATTCGGTAGTATAATCGTTTATTGAAATAAAAAACGAAGTTTTTTTTTTGAATAAAACCGTTTAAAAACTTTTAAGTTAAACGGTTTTATTTTATGTTTTTTTTTTTTGTTAATATTGTATTGTCATCTAAATTAAATGTGTGTACCAAATTTCAGATCAATCTGACAACGGGAAGGTGCTTAAGTTTCAATTTCTAATTTTGACCCAAATAAACAAATTCCGTATGTGTCGAGCTAAATAAAATTGTTTAAAAAGCGTTGAAAATACAGAACGTGTAGACAATGCGGTAGTCATTCATAAATACCAAAATTTTACTGTGCACAAACTTGTGTGCGTGTTAGTTATGAATAATCGCGCGTAAAATAAATGAGTTGCGTATAAATCACGCACTTTTTGAGATAAGTTAAAATAATGTTATTAATTACTTAAAAATGATTTTAAATATTTATCATTTTTTATATAACATTATTTATGTCTAGAATTTAATTAAAAAAATGGATACACTTAGAAAAGCCGCCCTGTGTATTAGTGAGACACAAATAAAAAGAGAAAAAAAATCTTATAAACCAGCTATGTGCAAGTTTGAACTGTCTAATGTCTTGTTCTTCCAGTGACCTGTCGCCACAAACAGCGGAATTGCTCTTCGAGGTGTACGACCGGGGAACGGCCGCCACTCCTGGCGGGACGGAGCACCACAGGTCGGTTCTGTGATCTTTCTAGAACAACATAAAACAAAGTCGCATCACTACATAGGGTTCTGTGATCTTTCTAGAACAACATAAAACAAAGTCGCATCACTACATAGGGTTCTGTGATCTTTCTAGAACAACATAAAACAAAGTCGCATCACTACATAGGGTTCTGTGATCTTTCTAGAACAACATAAAACAAAGTCGCATCACAACATAGGGTTCTGTGATCTTTCTAGAACAACATAAAACAAAGTCGCATCACTACATAGGGTTCTGTGATCTTTCTAGAACAACATAAAACAAAGTCGCATCACTACATAGGGTTCTGTGATCTTTCTAGAACAACATAAAACAAAGTCGCATCACTACATAGGGTTCTGTGATCTTTCTAGAACAACATAAAACAAAGTCGCATCACTACATAGGGTTCTGTGATCTTTCTAGAACAACATAAAACAAAGTCGCATCACTACATAGGGTTCTGTGATCTTTCTAGAACAACATAAAACAAAGTCGCATCACTACATAGGGTTCTGTGATCTTCCTAGAACAACATAAAACAAAGTCGCATCACTACATAGGGTTCTGTGATCTTTCTAGAACAACATAAAACAAAGTCGCATCACTACATAGGGTTCTGTGATCTTTCTAGAACAACATAAAACAAAGTCGCATCACTACATAGGGTTCTGTGATCTTTCTAGAACAACATCACTGCATAGCATAAAACAAAGTCGTCCCGCGGTGTCTTTCCCTATGTATGCTTAGATCTTCAAAACTGATCAACGGATCTTCATGCGGGTTTTTTTACTAGATAGAGTGATTCAAGAGGAAGGGTATGTATAATACATTGCACCGTCGCTAGTACTATATTTGTCTCTGATATATTTACACAGTGATTTTTGAGACGAGGTCCATATTTTAACATAATGTTAATTGAGCATTACATAATTCAAAAAAAAATTGATATTTTATTTTGACAAAGAATAACCAGAAAAATATCAATTCAAACATTGTTCGTTTATCCCGTTAAGAGTGGTCACCCTATTGATAAGTGTAAGTAATTATCCGTTCAGCGAACAATTTTAGTGCTCTTGAATAGGTTATTATATTATATTGAGACGGTAAGGCAGGAATTTCTAACAAGGTGTCCATAATGTTTGAAAAAATTCAAAAAAAAATCTTTGAAAAATCAGATTTAAAATCAAATTCTGCATATGCTCCGTTAATATGTCCGTCGTCTATAAAATCACGCTGTAAAGTAAAACTATTAATAAGAAGGTTTACGGTTTTGTAACACTATTGAAAAATGCACACTGGACATATCCAGTGTCCACATTGACTGTGGTCGACGTGGACTTAGGTCAACGTAGCGGTTAATCCCTGGCCAGGTTCCTGGGCCTGGGGCTGGTGGGGATCGACGAGCTGCTCGCGGCCCCTTCCCAGCGGCAGCAGATCGCGTTGCAGACGAGGCCCATGGAGGAACACGACATCAGCGGAACCCTCACTGTGGAGGTGGGGTCTATTGCTCAGAGCTATTTTCAGCCGACTTCGAAAACGGAGGCTCTCGATTTGACTGTGTTTTTTTTTGTTTGTTTGTCACCTCAAAACTTTCGAACCCATTTTGATGATTCTTCTGTTAATCGAAAGCCGATACTACCCATGCGGTCCCGTATTAAATTCGTTGGTATTGGAACTTGGGTTTCGGCTTAACGTTTCGGTTTCGGCGAACTTTTTCCGGCTAATAAAACGACCATTTTTTTACTAACAAAAAACAAAACCGACTTCCCAACAAATATCCCTCTCTGTATTCATTTTATAATTGATTTTAGGACTTCCCTAAGTATCTCCGGAGCCAAAGATACAATACCAATGAAATTAATATGGGACCACATGGGAAGCACCAGCTTTCAAATAAAAAAAGAATCATCAAAATCGGCTCACACAGTTCTGAGGTAACAAAAATAAAAAAAAAACAGCCGAATTGAGAACGTTCTCCTTTTGAAGTCTGTTAACAATTGACTTGTTTTATGTGCAATGGCTAATTTCTCATATTAATTTCATTGGCATTGGATCTTGGACTCCGGAGATACTTAGAACTCCTGAAAATCGATTATAGAATAAATACAGAGCGAGATATTTGAAGACGGTTTTGTTTTCCGTTAATAAAACAATTGGCTTGTTTTATGTGAGAAAATGTCAAACCGACATGGTATGAGCGTTATGAGAAGGGAAACAAATCATGTGATTGGAGGGTGCAAAGCTTTTTTGGATGGACTGTGTGAAGAATGATATGTCTGTGAAAGGGGTTGGTATTGTGATGACGGCCGACAGAGGAAAATAGAAGGGAAGTACCTGTTGTGCCGATCCCACCTAGTGTGGGATAAGGGTAGGAAAAAGAAGAAGGAAGGGTGAGAAAGTGGCAAGGGAGCTGGCCTGGTGTCGAGTGATGACCGCCGCCCATAGACATTTGCAACACCCGTAAGGGCCCGGCCACCTCACTCACCAGACGAATCGTATTGCACTTCCACTCGACGCCGGTCGTCCGTGGGATCGTGGTATTTACCCGGACGGACCCGCCCATTTGTGCAACAGAAGCCGCTGCGTGGTCCACCACTGTTCAAATTATTTTTAGATACTCAATCGCCCTGTACCGCTAAACAACTTGAACCTACTCCACAAGTTTAGGATTCCAGGGCTTATAGGTTCAACCTTGTGACGAGGAAACTTGGAAAATAAAGTAATTCGTAGCTCAGTGATTGCAGCAAGTGTCTAATTGCAATCGATGCTTCGACAGTTCCTGTTCATCGAGGGCGCCGACATCCCCGACCTGGGCTCGAAGCCGTTCAAGATCAAGGAGAGCCTCCGCACCCTATCGCCGCAGGGCCAACTCACCACCACCACCAAGACCATCTTCCAGCAGAATGGTAACAACCACTTTGCGCTCGCGTTTAGAATAGACTGGAGTGCGCTGTTCATCACCAGGCAATCGGGCAGGCCAAGGGTGATACTGTTGCAATTGTCAGTAGTTTTTTTTTTTATTTTAGAAGTTGGAAAGTGAGCTGGCGTCGCCTGATGTTAAGTATTAGGTTGTTCGGATCAGACCCGCCCACACAAATATTCTAATAAAAGATATAGTTTTCATTTATATGAACTTATATTTAAAGATCAAATAGAGGTAGTCGCCCTGCGAATTTATAACCGCTTGTCAGCGCTAAAGTAACTTCCTCACCTTCCATGTTGGTTGCCATCGGTTATTTCCTTATCCAAAGCTTTTCGCATCAGAGTAAGCAACACCGCCAATTCTTCTTTTTAACTGATAAAAGCAACCATAATCACACAGACTTAAGTCAGGGAATATGGTGGTCGAATCCAACGCATTGAGCGTTGGATTCGACCACCATATGTTATGTTTATGGTTAATATGTATTTTTATTGCGCAATAAAAATTCAAAACCGGGCGGGTTTGATCCGAACAACCTAATAATAATCGCCGCCCACGGACATTCGCAACACCCGTAGGGTTGCAAATGCGTTGCCATCACTACATAGTATAAAACAAAGTCGTCACGCTGTCAGTCTGATCCTATTTATGCTTAGATTAAAACTTAGTCTTTAAAACCACGCAAGGTATCTGGTTTTTTTTATTAGATAGAGTGATGCAAGAGGAAGGTTTATATGTACAATACATTGCACCCTGCGAGTCCACTGCGGGTCGCTAGTTTTTTAATAAAGTGGGCCCCGGCTACCTCACTCGCCAGACGAAAAGCAGAAGTGTAACACTTCCACTTCATGCCGTTTTTCTGCGAGGTCGCGGTACTTCCCCGGACGGACCTGCCCATTCGTGCAACAGCGAACACTGTTGCGTGCCCTACCACGGTTAAATTTATTACTCGTTCACGTATTTTTGCAACACCTGCGCCGTGGCAGCCGCTGCCAATCTTCATAACAATCGCTCGTACCAGAGGAAAAAGCAAATACCTTCACGTCTGGTCTTCCGTTATCCGTGGTACGTCATAAAATGTGGGTGAACGACTATTGGCTGCATCGCCACCTACCACCAGATGATATGGTAGTCAAGTGCTGGCCAGTTTTGAATAAAAAAAAAAAGAAAACATAAGAAAGAACACACACACACATACACACATACTTGGCGGCGACCCGAATGGCGTAGTGGGTAGCGTACCTGCCGCCTGCGTCAGAGGGTGTGGGTTCGATCCCCACTACTGGAAAAATTTAGTGTGATGAACATAGTGTTTTTCTAGTGTCTGGGTGTTTATATAATATGTATTTATTTACAAAAGAAAAGTATGTTTAAGTATGTTCATCAGTTATCTAGTACCCATAGTACAAGCGTTGCTTAATTTGGGACTAGAGAACTTTGTGTAAAAATGTATCCTGTGTAAAATATTTATTATTTATTTATTTATTCACTTCCGCCACAGGCCAGGACAACTCGCAGCTGACCGAGTCGGCCTTAAGGGAGTTGGAGCTGAGCCCCACCAGCGCTGCGAACAAGTCCACCCTGATCATCCACTCTGTGCAGCGGGTAAGCTATCTGTCTCTCTCACTCGTCCTCCAACCGACATTCCCCGTCTCATGTCACGTTGGCTGAAAACTGTTTCGCGAATACGGACCGTAACTGGTTCTGATAAAGTTTAAAATGGCTTGTAACTCTGCAAGGTATTTTTACCGGCTCTTTATGTCTGTGTTGATTCAATTTTTTCTGCATTTGGCAATGTCAAGCGATCTTTTTTTGTTGTGTATTATTTATTTATTTATTTATTTATTTTACATTATCTGTATTCGCAAAACGGTTTTCCCCTCCGAAGAACTGTTTAATTTTTAGTTAGCGTTTTCTTTTTGTGTTAACTTTATCCCAAGTCCGTATACAACGAGCGTATGCTATCCATTCATTTCATTGGCAGCCTTCGTTCATTCATTCGGTCGATTTTATTGACCGACTGTTGTGGACGAAGCGTTGCCTCATTGATTTGGTTTTCTTTTCCATTGTGCGTGCCTTTTGCCCGACGCATGCGTTTGGTTGAAACGTCGAAGGAGCCGACGAAGTCAATAAAGGTGAGAATCGCATGTCATTTGCTGTGTAATGTACATAATGGCGCCGTATCGACGAGTGAAAAGGGCTAACCGAAATTAGAACTTAATTACACATATTCAATGTTTTATGTCTTATAAAATATAACAATAATCAATAAACACACCAAATAATAATATTATGAGTATTGGTATTTATTATTACAATTAGCTCTTTTCACCTGCCATATGCATATTTTCTTTTTATTATCGTCAGAATTTTGCTTCTGCGATAAATTGACCAATCACATGTACATAATTTGTTTTGTTAAAACAAGTTTTACAAGCATGTACCCGTATCAAACTGTCATTACTAAATTTATACTTTTTTTGTTGTGATTTCGTTTTGGGAGTTATTTCAATAGAGCGAAAGTTATTTTTATTTAGTGAAACGTAACTCGATCGAACTTTTAATTATATTCCCGCGAAACATCTGATATCTTTGTCTAAGCTCGTTGGTATCGTCGAAGCTTTAATAGTTTACGGACTAAAGTCAAAATCAGCTAAAGTAAAATAAAACATTAGTTAGTCTACGGACTGAATGCAGACACGGTTATTAAATGTATTAGTGTTCTGTTGATGACGCGTCAGAGTTAATACAGTCGCGAGTTAGACATTTATTGCGACAAAAAGTTTCCCAACCCGCGAGATGACTCCCAAGCGATCGCCCGTCGCACTAACCGCCCCCTCGCGGCAAAGGTGGAACTAACCGACTCCGGGAAGTTCGTCGAAGTGGAGAAGGAGGCGGCCGCAGAGGAGAAGCAGACGGAGAGAGAGGGGGCGCCACCGGCGAGGAAGTCCACTCCGAACCAATCGCCCGCGAAGAGCGTGAGAATAAAGGAGAACGGAGCCAAGCCAAACGGAGAGACGGTCGACCCCCCCAAGGTTTTCCGCCCGTGTTTTTGCCGCTTTTCTCCCGCTTTATACTAACATTCGCATCCCTGATATGTATCGCGCAACGTGTAATGTATGTGCCTTGTGACAGCCCCCATTGTTAATCTGTGGTCGTTATGTCATAATTATAGTTTCCGACCTGTCATTGATTTTGGCGGGAGATTCGGACAGCTGATAGTGGTTCTGATTTCAGCAGTAAAACAATTCTCGTTTGAATTCGATAATTTTATTAGAAAACATTACGTTTAATTTACTTCTCTATGGTTCATAAATTTAAAGTCAATCAATATCAGATTTATTTATTACACGTAAAAGTTGAACTGTTATAATACAGTCTTGAATGAAATAATCATCTGTCAAATATATAATTTTTTTTTATTTCGAGAGGTTAACATTAGACGGTTTACTTCTATAAGTCAGTATAAACTTGTGTTGCCATATGCTAAACTCTTTTCTATTATATTACCTTTGGCATCGCTATTAGTAAATATTTTATTTATTGATAATTATTAGACATTGGAAATACTATTGCTATTTTTTTTAACTAAATTCTCCACTATAGAACATATTGTTGAACACGTTAATGATATTAGTTTTCGTACAGCAAGGCGACTACGTGAACAAACAAGAGAACAGCCAAGAGAACAATCCGCCTGAACCGGCGCCGAGGAAACGCCGGAGAGACTTCTTCGGAACTATAAAGAGAAGGTGATTTGAAAAACAAGTTCTTTTTATGTGAAATGTCGCCGAACGAGCAGACGGTTCCTGATGGTAAGTGTATACCGCCGCCCATGGACATCTGCCACACCCGAGGGTTACAGATGCGTTGACAACCTTTTGAAAATTGGGCTCCGGCTACCTCACTCACCAGACGAAACGCGAAAGTATTTGTCATATTTCCACTTTACGCTGGTCTTCTGTGAGGTCGTGGTACTTACCCGGACGGGCCTGCCCATTCGTGCAACGGCCGAGGCTGCTGCGTGGCCCTACCACCTTAGAGTGATAACCGAATTTACAACACCAGTAGGTTTGCAGGTGCGTTGCCACCTTTTAATAAAGTGTGCCCCGGCCACCTCACCCACCAGACGAAAGCAGAAGACTTATGTAACACTTCACTTCGGTCTTCCGTGAGGTCGCGGTACTTACGCCCATTTAAGCAACAGTATAGTAGTAATATCTTAGTACAGTTGAGTCGTTGTGGTTATTTGGCCATGTTTCGAACGGACCTGCCCTTTCTTGCAACAGCGAAGTCTGTCGCTTGGTTCTATTACTAGAAGACTGTTACTTGGTGCAGTTCCGTGGGGCCGCTGTGGTTATTTGGCCATGCTTCGGACGGGCCTGCCCATTCTTGCAACATCGAAGTCTGTAGCGTGCTCCTGTTAATTGCAGGCGGTTACTTTGTGCAGTTCCGTAGGGTGGCTGCCCATTCTTGCAACAGCGAATTCTGTCGCTTGGTCCTGTTAATTGCAGGTTACTTTGCGCAGTTCCGTATAGCTGATGTGGTTATTCCGCCATGTTTACAGACTGGGCCGCTCCCGCACCCGTGGCGCCTCGCTGGACCTCCAGGACTCGGATGTCGAGCAGCGGCTCCGCTCCGTCAGCGCCGAGAGGAACACGCACGGTGAGGAATCCCATTCGCTTCTTTCACGTCTACCGTTGGAGGTCCTTCGGTGGATCTGATCCGTTGGTGCCCCAGGCCTATACTAGACGGCCTCGCTGTGCAGGAATAAGAGGGGGAAATAGAAATGGAACCTACTCATCGTGGCCGCTTGGTTTGTTATAATTTTTTCGGAATACCGTCTACGCAAAGGAGCGAGAGGCAAAAGTTGCGACTAATAAAATCGACCAAATTCTGCCGCACCCTAAATTTTGCTGCTCCAATCCCATGCCTATAAGGAAATTCGCCACTGCGGATGTCACGATATCCCCTGGATACCACATTTTATAAATGTTTACAGTGCTAATAACTGCTTTTAAAAACGCAATCGTTTGCCCTAAAGCATATGATAATGCATTGCCAAAAAATGTAGATAAAATACGTTGAGATTTCCATTAGAGTGGCAAGTTTTTGGGACTGGCACAAAAGTCTGGGCGCAACGGCGAAAAGCTTTACATAATTTTTTTTACCAATTTTAACATAACATTCTTTACCACCACAATTTAGGAACTTGGATGACGTGATATCCGGGTCTTTTTGTGTTTTTAATAACACCTACCACAATTGTAATAGTCATTTAAAAGGTTATCTAACGCAAATCAATCATATTGAATAAATTTACCTCATGTTTCAGACAAAGTGCTCGCTCTGCCAAACAGAAACGTGTACTCGGCGGGCGCTTCGCCCGCACAATCCGGTGACGAATCGAGGACCTCTCGGAGGTATGTACCACTTTGGCAAAGCCACGCGTTACAAATGTCGCACTGCCGTGTTTGTCTGGTGGGTTGTTTTGTATATTAGATATACAGCGTGTCGTTACCATCGCGACAATAAATGAACACACGTCTAACGCTACTTGCCAATAATCCTAAAAAAAAATATTTTCAAACAAACTAATTAAGTTAAAAAGAAACAAAATTTGTAACATCCTATACAACTCGCGCCACAGTGTCGCATTACAAGCCTCTCCTTCTAACAGTATGTTTTGTCTCTTTTAAATTAATTCAACCCATTCATATGCTATGTGACCTTTACAAATGAACTTTACGTTACAGTTTTATACGTAAGGGTGTTCTAAAATTCTTTGTTTTGGAAAATATAATAACTCTGTAAATATTGATGTTGAAAGAATGTAAATGTTTAATACAATTTTAAAAAGTTATCCCCTATATGTGTGTTCATTTATTGTCGCATTTGTAAAGACACGCTGTATATAAACATGAGAGCTTGCGACTTTCGCGTTTAAACTATAACCAACTCACTCCGCGTTTAAAGTAAAACTAAAACATCAGTATACGGCTTAAGCGTTATATTAATTTTATTTCGCTCTGATTTCCAACAACAACAATTAAAAGAATTACTTATGGCCGCAATTAACTCTTAATTGGCGTCAAATTTCTTCGTTCTATATGTTCGTTATAGTCTTACGAGACTCGGTTTGTTATAAAAGGTAGGAGTGGAATTTTACTATTATATGTTATTTGTTCCCAAGAAAAAAATATATTTATCAATTATTAGTAACTGCAGCAGTGATATGAAAAAAAAAAAATTTGTCGAAATACAATTGAAAAACTAAATTGGCTATTTGCACAAAATTAATCTTTAACGGACATGGTAAGACTGCATTACATAATACATGCTAACGACGTTGTTTAAAACTTTATAATATGTTAAGGTCATTAAATGATGCAATCTTGCCAGAGTCACAACTCAATTTATCGTCTGTGTTGTTTACGAAGCGGTAACACCGGCACTAATTTGTGATTTTTTTTCTTTTTTTCATCTGCCAACATTCACATGCGCGGGGGTAATCGCACTCTGCAATCTGGTAACATTGGTTTTTTTCATACTAATTGTACTTTACTACTTTATATATGCTGGAACGAAACGCTTTATACGCCTGTACTATTTATCCTCTTTCCATTTTTTGAACTCAATTATCTTTTCATAATTTCACTCACATTTTCTGCTTGAACACCCGAAACAACATTTGAATCGTTTCTCATTGTCATATTCATATCCGTTTTCTATATACTGTTCCGTTTCAAACAATAACACATTTGAACCGTTTTTCCAACACTCAAACTCGTTTTTTTTTTAATACTGTTCCATTTTCCACAATATTGTAAATGCTTTGTTCCTATTCCATTCAAATCGTAAAATTATCTATGACGGCACGAAAAACCGTTCGAACGTCATCACCGAACTGTCACTTTTCCCTCCACTTTTTGACGTTTCGTATGCTCCTTTTGTTTTGTTTTTTTAAATTTCGTCCGCTCCTTTTGTTTTTTTTTCTCTGTCGCCTTTCTTTTCACGCAAAATAACGCTGAAGGTCCTCCCTCAGCGAAGTGTCCGGCTTTAGCACAGCGTCCGCGCGCACCTTCATCCACGAGGCGTCCACTTTGGTCCTGGAGACCATAGAGGCGGGCATCAAGAAGCACTACCTGGTGCCCCTGACCATCGCCCAAAGGTCGAGGTGGCGGCGGAAGGGCGTCAAGCTGCACATCTTCAACGAACACACCTTCATCGCTAAGCACCTTAGCGGGTGAGTGTGGCCACGCTAGTTTTTTTTTGTGAGCAAACTCGGTCCGTCCTTATGTCAAATGTTTATTGCCGCTAACACTCAACACAGGGCCGAATTTAGGGGATAATAGGGACTTCGGAAGAAAAAATTTCAATTTCAAAAAGAAAAAATATTTTTTCCTTTCATTGGTTTCACAATAAATTATTTATTGGAAAACTCGACTGAAAAAATTGTTCATTTTATTTGGAAAATTATTTGGGGCCAAGGGGCCTCCACTCCTTTGTTGCCCCGAGACCTCTAATTCTGACTCAACATCTGTGGTAATGGAGAGTTACGAACCCTCAAAACACATATAATCGAAATGACCGAATTAACTCAAACGACTTATTCTCATTCAGCAGAAGAAACTCAAAAGTATGATGATACTTTTATTGTGAATTATATCTTATTGTCTCTACGTTGTTGTTAAACTTACCTGTGTTGTAATGCAACATTCTAGACCTGTCTTCACTTAGATATTTTTTGTTATTTCGCTGTCCATAGGTTCCTCTGGTACACATAGAGTATCCCATTTATCCGTTATAACCCATTTATGACATATGAAAATAAATAAATATATCTTTATTTCAATGTATTACAATCACTTATTGATTGTCAAATAGGCACTACTATGAGGCATTAGGAGCTATAATGTCCATTAGCTGGCCAGTTCTTTATTATAAATTGGAATCATTAGGCACCCTACTAACGTTAGGCGACGAGGTCAAATACTTTAGCGATGATGATACAATATTTAACGAGTCGTGATGATATAATATCTAACGACGGCGGTGGGGGATTGTCTTTTAATATAGCCCGTAGCAGGGTTACGGTATGCGTAGCAGCCGCAGCCCTCTACGCGCTACGTCTTTTAAAACTGGAACGACGCACAGTGGCACGGTGTGCGAGGTGTGTGGCAAGAACGTGGCGCGGCGGCTCGGCAAGCAGGGCTACGAGTGCCGCGACTGCCACATGCGCTGCCACAAGCACTGCCACGTCAAGGTCACCGCCGTCTGCCCCAACTCCACCGTGCAGAACATGGAGCTGTGAGTATCCGCGGAAATTCCCCTCCCGCATAAAAATTCCCCTGGATATAAATACCACCGCAGATTTTTCATTTAAAACATTTTCCTTACAGTAAGACAACATTATCCCTTTTCCACAGTCCTTTGTAAGAACGTTTCACAAATACAAATTTAACGCGGACAAACACCCAGATCGCAAGCAATTGTCTGTGGTCACACGAACAGTAGTCCCGTGTGGGAATCGAACCCACGAAACCCCGGCGCCAAGCCGATGACTCGGCGACTGCGCCAAAAAGGCATGTCTGCATTTGGCTCATTGAGGCGTCGTCATCCACCCATCATCCCACATTTCGGCTGAAATCAATCATTTCTTCATCGACATTCCATACGAAAGCTTTGCTAAGCGGGAATTAAACAATCTTTCCGTCAGAATGGAACGTCTGTTTGTCGATTTTAACTCATTTAGAGTACTCAATATTATCCCCCCCCCCCCCCTCGGATCATGTACTAAACATCTAATGCTTCTACTACCTTCCGCACTGTCACAGATTATGTTATCTTTCTTCTATCTTTATCTATCTTCTATCTCACCTCCACAGTTCTGAGGAGCTGTAGGTATTAATATTATTTGTCCCTCCTCTGAATCTTTTGGCATATATCACTTGGATACTTTTATCCCGTTCTGCAGGAAATGCTTTCTTGTTCATTCAATGATTTAATTACATAGAGATTTCTCATTGATTTTAGTTGTATTTTTAAATTGATTACTTACTAGTTTGTAGTTTTTACTCTTTCCTATCAAACAAGTAATACTCTACTATTTCACATTTGACACTTCTTTTTTTCGTTTGTAGTGTAGGTAGCAGAATGGTGAATGTTAATAATTATTTGATAATATCCAAATGGTATAATTATGATATCTAGACTTCTAGATTAATTTAATTCCTATTTAATATCCAATTAAAATATATCAATTATTTTGCTATAAAAAGTTGTCATAAATTTTTTGTAAAATTAAAATATTTTAAAGATTTCTATTTAGAATTTCCGAACAACATTAAAACTACCACGCACCGTAGACATGATAAAGGTGAAACTTGTGATTATTTTCGTTCTTGAAGAAAAAACGACGTACGTAATAAAAAAACTCAATGATAAAAAGTAAAAAAAGTAAAGCAAACTTTTTTACATGAATCTCATGTAAAAATGTGCAAAACCTTCACGAGTCCGTGGAATTTCACGCCCCATTTATATCTTTCCAATTATCGGATCTATGTTTAATTTCCGAAAAAACATATATATTTCATTTACTTGCATTTAATAATATAATATTTATATATTTATTTATTATATTTATTTCATTCATTTTCTAGTATCTATCACCTCTTTGCTGTCGAAACATTCTGCACTAAGTACAGTCATTGAAAGTAATTCATCAATCGACATAAATAAAGCGTATTGGGTTGATATAGCAATGAATCACAAACAGATATGCAGATTTTACTTATTTGATGTATTATGGTCGCTTAATGATGGTAAATTAGACATTTTTGAAGAGCTTAGTTTTTCAATACGAGTTAGAACTATGTCAATGCTTCCACATCTTTTCATCGTTTCAATCACTCAATGCATAAGTTTATCAATTTTACTATCGCAATAATTTGAATATACCTAGCATTATTAAATAATATGTGTAGGCCTAGTTACAAATAGATTTTTAGCTTATTTTTCTATACAGCGGAGGGGGTTACCTCTTTTGCGAAAAAATGTTAGTGTTACACATGTTGTATGTACATATATAGTAAAGTAAAATAAAGTAGTATTAATTACATTTAAAGACAGATTATTAGATATTGACCAAAGCCAAGAAAATAGGGATCAAAGTAAGCCATTTAACAATCTAAAATCTTCAAAAGTTCAAACTTTTCCAGCACCAATTGATCGTCTACTAGTTAATTGTGGACAAGATTTAATTTCATTATGTAATATACATATATATTAAGATTTACAGGTAGGTATTGCTGTTAAAATTTGTAGTTGGCTGGAAATAAAAATGTCTCACTGCTGTGACTAACTTGCTTTGACATAAAAATTTGCTACCGCCATTTTTAATTCGAAATTATTTTTAATTCGAAAGCTTAACTTCCTTTGCGATATTGAGTGCTAATGCTTTCAGCAATATTCTCATAAAACTGCAAAAACATTCGAACATAATATTAGTTAGTCATTTGTGTGTAATTATAAAAAAAAATGTTTATATTGCTGATTGCAATAATTGAAGTAACGGGATTGGCAAATAAATAATTTTTTCTAACTTTCAGTAACGTTTGGCTATTGCTTATCCGTATTTTTATTTTTAACGCTGCCAAGGTCCCATTCCCATAGCTTTGGAAATGGAAGGTACATATATTAGTTTTTTTCAATATTTTTCAATATTATCTTGAATATTATGCCGAAGACGTGGGTTCGATTCCCACAGCGGCGACAATCTTTTCGCACTTTTTCTACATATTTTAATGTACAATCTTAAGTGCAAAGATTAGCACTATAAACAATTTAAATTTCTAAAAAAGCAATGGCGACATCTCTCGTTCGAATTCTCGTTGTAAAACGATATTCGAAATTGTTTGTATGCTGGAAAGGATATAACAATAGATGGCGCCAAGCATTGCTTCAAATGCTAAGAAAACAATGTAGAGGAATGCGTTAAGATTTTCGTCGGTGTGGTCATCAGCCGTTTAGCTCAGCGGCTAGAGCATCGGGCCGCGAATGCCGAAGACGTGAGTTCGATTCCCACAGCGGCGACAATCTTTTCGCACTTTTTCTACATATTTTAATGTACAATCTTAAGTGCAAAGATTAGCACTATAAACAATTTAAATTTCTATTATCTTGACTGTTGTGTAAAAAAAAATGTGATGTCATTATTAAAGCATTCTATTCTATATATTTTTCATAAATTTATGCATATATTGTCGTCACCAGTAGCGAATAAGTGACGAAATAAATGTTTAAATAAATATCGAGTCAAATTATTTTCCGGTTATAAAACAAAAAATTGCACAGTCCTTAAATTAATAGTGACAGTTGCCGTCGTGCTTGTGAAAATAAACGCCTCTAAGTCTAATTCGGAAAATTCATGTAGATTATAATAGTGTTGTTACTTTTTGCTATATATCACGGTACCCAAGGCTTCTATTGCTACGCTACTCACGCAAAAAGTAAAACATTTCACACCATTGCGTCACAAGATAATAAATACAGTTCAACTTAATTTGAAACTATTTATAATCTGTTTACGACACCACATAATCATAGACTAATTTGATTAATCATAATTCGACTCATTAACCAAATATCATATATGAGTAAAATATATTTAAAACACGATAATAATTCTTTTAGATCCATGCTCCCAGTGCTAAGCGAATAGACAAGACGAGGGAGAAGACTGCAAGAAAAATAATGATAAAAAAAAAAAACTAAAACAAGCTTCGTTCAGGTCCTTTAAACGAATTAAAGTTTGTAGTCGCAATGTTACTCTCGTTTGGCTTGAGTTTATTTCAGTTGTACGAAAAAATGCATGTTTGTAATTTTTCTTTGCATTCTTTTTTTTTAAAATTTTGAATGGTGATATAACCATAACAAAATTAACTATATTATTATGTCAAAAGTTGGCAAAGCGATTCACCTGATGTTAAGTGATTACCGTTGCCCATGGACTCCCGACAACACCATACAGCTTTAAAAACAGTTGTCTCATATTACTCAATCACTTCTGTGAGGCCATGGTACTTCCTCAGACGAGATTGCCCGTTTATGTGCAATAGCAGAAGCTGTTGATTTCCCTGCCAAAGGGAATGTAAAATATAATATAAGTATATTAAAATAATTGATGACCCGATTGGCGTGGGGAGTAGTAACCCTGCCTCCTGCGCCAGAGGGTGTGGGTTCGATCCCCACTACTGGAAAAATATTGTGTTATGAACATGGTGTTTTTCCAGTGTCCGGGTGTTTATATATGCCTAATATGTATTTATTTACAAAAGAAAAGTATGTTTAAGTAAGTTTATCAGTTTTCTAGTACCGAAAGTACAAGTCTGGGGCTAGAAAACGTTGTGTAAAAATGTGCCCTTAATGTTTATTATATTTATTTATTTATTTATAGTTCAATCTATAGTCCAAAAACAATTGAGCATGTAACCAACCGATCAATTACAAAACAATTTTTATTACTTTCTAACACCACCTACTTACTTTGTGTTTGCTGTGCATGATTGATGTGATTGTGTTGCCCCTCTATAATATTACCTTTTATTTTATGCTCTCTTTTTAAATATCATATTGTTTTGTACGTTTCACGGCCCAACATATAGACCTTGCAACTTTGAATTACGAAGGGGACCTTCTAACGCGACAAACCGTTGCGTTCGAAGAATAATCGATACGACAAATATGACTTAATTGGAATATATTAAATCTTTTTTAATTATTCACAACTTATGACAAACCTCTCCGAAAATACGAACGAAAACAATATGGAGTATAGAATACGCGTTATATTGAAGTGCGCCTCCATTGTAACGCCATCTGGATTGTCCTTTATCAATGGAGTTCGCTTGCTCCTTACTATTATCATTCTAGTGAGTTGCAAGATTTGTGTGTAAGAAGTAAAATTTTAATTGTCATTAATTAGTCGTCCTTTTCTTTATTTTTAATCGATGCTTTGGTAACACAAGTTGTGATTGTGTGAAAATACGAATTGTTTTTTTTTTCAAAAGATTTTTCTTCTGTTTCCAGGGCTTACATCTCGTCGCCATACACGGATAAGAATATAAGAATGTTGTGAACTCTCTCAACCGCTACGGTCGCTTTCGTGCACAAACCTACAAATATATACATGCTGTCTACTTAACTTATTTAATTATTAACGATATACACAAATCTAAGAGTACAATTCATACGTACGCTATGATATATACAATGTATAGGCTTTTTTTACAAATCTGTTTATAATTTGTAACGTTATATACCTAGCTATGTAAGAGTTAAAATAAAAGTAGAGGTCCCAATGTTCGTCCCCTTTAATTATAAATTGGAATTTTTCTGCTTACCGTCACCGTGGACGCGCAAATTTTAGATTAGCTTAGAAATCGCTAGAGCCCACCGGACGCAGTTCCGGCATTGCAAAATTAACCGAGATGCTTTCCTCAAGAACTGTGTCTACATTGGCGGAGAAATGTCCTCACAAAATGCCGCTACCTCACTTTACGAAGTTACGACGATCATGTGTTATTATAAATTGAAGTTACCAATATGATTATATTTACCAATATTGTTATATCGTTTCTGTTGTCTAGGTTATTGAGTGTTACACAAAATTATTCGGGAAAAAAACTACTGCCGTTTAGGCCGAATCCAATAAAATTGCAAACTTTTTGAAGATCGCAATTCGACCGCGCATAAATATGACAAAAACTGAACACTAAGGTAAAAATTTCCTTTGAAACCATGGTTTTATATACGATACACTTTAAAGTAGAAAATGACAAGTAGTGCTTTTAATTTTTAGGTGTAATCGTGTTACTCGAATATTAACGAGTCGTTAAGCGCTTCGCACATGGGACTAATTTGACGTGAAAAAAAAAACTATTAACTGCCGAATCACTTGTGCTTGAAGCTTTGACGTATAAATAATTAGTATTTAATACACGGCCATACTTACCAGTGTCCACCTAATTTGGAAGTTTTACTACAGAATATATCGAAAAATTAAGTTTTCTTATGAGTGATTGAGATTCTACTTCTGTTGATATTTCTGTCAATATTTTGTACTAAACCTATCGTTTGGGGGTTTTTCCTCACAATGAACTGGCAACACTACGCAGCCAACGTCAATTGGATTTATTAAGGAATGAAATCATTTATTATAGTCGTGACGGACAATCTATAGGTACAAAATATCGACGGCTTGATTTTGTTTTAAATAATTTTTAACTTATGTTGAATCGACGCTGTTTGTAACATGACAAATCATTGTTTTATAATAAGTAAAAGTTGTTAACGCACATTCGTCCCGACATGTGTGGCGAAAAAGTATATTATTATTTATGAAATGTTCGCATTGTGTTATCTGTAATTTTATTTTCCTCTTTTTAAAAATAAAATGCCTTTTTTTAAAACAGCATATTATTTCCTTATGCACCTTTATTTATTTATTTGTGAAAAGTTGGCAAACGAGCAGGCGGTTCACCTGGTGTTAAGTGACTACCATACATGGACATCCATGGACATGAACATTTCTAACAAATGCGCTAACGTTAAAAAAGTGGGTTTAAGTGGGTTAAAGTCGAAACCCCATGTCGATTTTTGCCCACTAGGTCAGATTTGATAGTCTTATTGACTGAATTAACGTCCTTTATAAACGTCACTTTTATGTAAAATGATTACACATTTTACATTTACTCCTCTCAGGTCGTAGATGCGTTGCCAATAGCCATCCTTTAGAAGTGTGGGCACCATGAACTCGCCAGATGAAGGTTAAAGCAAATGACACACTACACAACACCTAGTCAATGACATTTTAGACTAGATATGTTGTTGACGCGGCTGGGGAAAGAAAAATAAAGAAAGTCAGCAAATAAGTTTAATGCGGGGAAGACTTTTGAGGGGATTTGACACTTGCTTAAGTGACAAACATTCGCCGTCCTCCTTTTTCTTATTGCTTTACATATATATTTTATACCCGTTTATACTATTCGAACGAAACATGTAAATGTGTGATGTCACTCTGTGTCACGAAGACGTGGGTTCGATTCCCACAGCGGCGACAATCTTTTCGTACTTTTTCTACAAATTTCAATGATGTCACTCTGTTTGGAAATAGGAACACTTTCGAGCTGAGATTTTGTATGCGTAAAAATATCTATAGTATAAAAATGCCATTACATTATTTAAATGTCCTTTACTTAGTAAGGTATGGGGGTAATAATAAAACGCATGGTACATTTCACTTAGGTACAGTTTATTGACTCCAGCGTATGTACACAAACAGTAAGCTGACCCCGCTGAGTCTGTAACGTCAGAGATCATTACGTGTACGTTTTTTTTAATCTGTGGCAGTATATATCATATGGATAACACAAACAACGCTGTATAATCTGTAGTATAGTATAACGGAATTATAAACGCACACTACAGTCTGTTAGATATAGGTTGATACGCGGGACATTGACACTGACATACAAATATGGATCTCGTATATGAAGTTTCGTATTTTTTTTTAAACAAAAAATGCACGTAACACATTGTGGTACTTTATTTCGCAATGTCACTTTAGTTTATTAATGTTATATTAATTTCAATGTCCCGCGGTATCATCGTACATTTAACAAACAGTACGAGCTATACATCACTTTGAGGGAACTAGTTTCGTCAAGCCTTCCTGAAACTTATTTACGGCAGGCGTATAGATTTATTAGATCAATCGAACAGATATGTCTATTATCATTAGTGAACTAAGAATGCCGAAAAAGTGTCTCAGTCCATAATTAAAAATGACGAAATGAAGTAATATCAGAATTAAGAGTTCTTTAACTTCAGTGCCAAGCAACGCATGGTAAATAACGATATTTTCAACTCGATTCGAATGGAATGTAAAAGGAAAACGAAAAATCGGTACATAGTTATGATCACGCGCGATGTAATAGCGTATCGCGGATACTCAGTTTAACACAACAGTTTAGAAACTCAAAACTCACTAGACATATCTATGCGGTAGATAGAAAAAGAAATTCTGTCAAACAAACCGAATAAAAACTTCTATGCACGATACGTGTGTATCATACCAGATGTTGCTACGTTTTAGATTAAGTATAATTTTACACTATTGTTACAGTACGGAGTAATACGGTATGTATACCACAACAGTTAAACATTATTCACGATAACAGAAAATTTCGCATTTCAAACGAAAGCACAGGAACACAATAGACATAAAGCATTCACAGAAAAGGATATATATATATGTTATTGTTATATATATAACTCATTACAAACTCTATTTACAATAGTACGAGTGATTAGATAATGGAATTCACGTGGACAATTTCGTTACACGTCCACAAAACACATGGTAACCTACTCTAATATGGAGTAATATGCACGGAGGGCGCCCCGACAACATAGAAAAAATGCAAAAAAAATCGCGTCACGGAACATGTACAGTATATATGTATAATAGTATTCCTATTTGGGGTGTATTAGGCGTTTGAAAACGACAAGTGATTGCGAAACGTAGAAAGTTCTACTTCACATTATAAGACATTCCCCGTCGAAATAGAGTCGCGGCCGAATCAACCGATCGAACCGGAAGCAGTCGACATTAACCATAACATAATAAAAAAATGGCGGGAACCGGAAGTGTCGATTAAACAATTTCACTTTCCAAAATGTCAATCGCCATAATAATATAGTCATAATTCAACTATACATTCGTAACTAACAAAACACCAGACTCCGAGAAACGCAGCAAGCGGAGACAATAGCGTGTCTGTGATATAGACATTAAATACAAATCTTTGATATTTCTGAGACCAACCAATAGAAAAGGAAAATAAAAAAAAAATCATTGTACATTTAGATACATAAAAACATCCGAAAAACGGCGACCAACGCGATTTGGTTAGCTTTATGAACGATTAATATTACACAATATCATCCTATAATTACATAATTGTTGTATAAATATCACTAAACGCGTTAAGGTTACACTAAAAAAAAAAAAGTAGTTTTCTTTTTTTTAAATACATCGCTATACATACTGGATTCGTTAGACAAATGCTCGTATCACCGATAGACCACGGCGGAGAGCAGCACCAACGGACCTCAACAGAGGGTTCCCGTTAAAAATGCAACTCGTAAAAACGCGGAGGGGGGGCGGGGGGGGGGGGAGATAAAAAAGTGTCCTCGAAAAGTTCGCGTAGAAAAACAAAATGGCGTCGCGTCGTAGGCCGCGCAGCGCCAAACGGTCTGCGTGTCAGTCGGATAAACACTTAACAGCTACAAGTTACTCGTTTATTGTGATCAAACGACGGCTCGGATCTAGCGCCGCGCCGGGTGGGAACGTCCGGAAGCGCTTACTGGCTAATTTGGCTTGTTGGGTATCGAAACGAAACGATACGAACACAATAGCGGCGAAGAACGATCGTTAACAGTCTACGAAAATGGTAACGGCCTGTATATGTCCCAATGCTGGACAAAGGCTGCATTTGAAAATGTAACAGTATAAATTTTGACAGCTTGATTTGAATCGAAACCTTGAAAAAAAAATTGAAAACATCATGAAAATATTAGATCAATTTAGGCTACCTTAACTCTAAAAAATACATCGGAATATTGTGAATCTTCAGTCGGGAGTTTGTGTGCATTCAGTACATGACGTCACTGTGACGTCACAGAGAGAGGTGCCCAATCTACCTCCGCGGCCCGTACTAGACTCGCGAAAGCGAGGAAACCCATAAACAGACTTATCCACCCGACGCGACTCGACCCGACGTAGTACACATTAATTACCTATACATAGTACGACTTAATCTAGAGGCGCGTACGCTCCGGCTCAATAAATATCGATTAATACTTAGTATAAAATACCAGTACGCTAGGTGAGTTTCGCGCACGCGTTCGATCGATCCGCTGTCGGGACTTCCCCGTCTTCGAAACTCAATATAGGACCAAATGTTACAGAGAAATTATGTCATATCGAATTATTAATTAAAAAACTGCTATTAACAAGACGTTAAAATTGTTGGAACGCCAAAACAATTCATGGAAGAAATGGCACATAGACCACCAATACATAACCTATAATATGTGAACATATATAAATTCACAGTTCTCAAATATATGCAACTTGAAATTATGATTACGTAAAAAAAAAAACACAAAACTGATATAAAAATAAAAATTATTTACTACATTTTCTACATACGTATAGAACAAAAAAAAACTTCAAGCGCCCAACAGGGGATCGATAGAACGTTAATAATAATTCGTACCCTTATATACTACGTACACATACGTATCTCGAATAAATACACTTTCAAGTATAAAATTGAAAAATAGAGAAAGAAATAACACGACTGGCGTTGGCTGCCCCTAAGGCATAATGCCCCTTTCTCTCGAAATATGTCGGTGTAGGTCGGAGTTGGATTCTTACAGAGAATATATAAAGGCGGTAAAAAATATCCCATTCAAAAATCATACAACTCTCCGGGAAGAGTAAATGAACCACACAAACTGACCTCTACCTAATGACGAGTCGCATACTTGAACATGATTGTGTATGAAAATCATTTAAAAAGAAACACTCTGTATAAGAAACGCCCTTGACCCTAAATCCTGGGAGCTACTCCGTTTGATGCGCTCAAATGTTGCCAATTCATCTGTCGCAAAACAAACGCTGGCAACCCTAAAACAACTTTCGATCACATTGTACGGTTTGGACGTCGATGAACAGACATTTATAAAATACATCAAACCACTACAGTCACAATTTTCCTATGGACATACATAATTATAAACATACATAAAGGACTTAGAATAAAAACAATGCGTCATTACAATATCGCTACTCGTAACATATGGATAGTACAGTCGCCGACAAACGCGGCCACAGAAAGGGGTTGACGTGACGATACAAAAAAAACCCGTTTCCAAATCGCGCGCGACTGTACTTGTTTCTGGAAACAATGCAAGTAGAAGCGAAACGTTTCACTGTTTTATCTGTTTCGGTTACATTACAGGCGCGCGCGATTGCTCGATTGACAGCTGTCAAAAATCACCGCCATTTCCTCTCGCAGACGTCATCGGCGAACAGATTAGATGACAGTTGGGTCGTTGTTACGTCGATATTGAGCACGGGTAGAACTCGGCTCCCGTATTGCTTTGCGTATGCGTATGCTCGAGTTGTATGCTCTGATGTATGCTCGAGTTGTATGCTCTGTGTATGCTTAAAATATGTGTTCACCGGCGCCCGGCAGACTAGCTTCACTCGGAGGCTCGCGGCGGCCTTACCTGCGCGCGAACTCCGCCTTCATCGCTGTGGATTTAAGGGTCATAATTGCGTGAGCTGAATTAGCGAGTCGTGCGGCTATTTATAATATTTTAATTTTAAAATTTGTAGAAAATACGTTTAGATTTTCGTCGGTGTGGCAATCAGCCGTTTAGCTTATTGGCTAAAGCGTCAGGCCGCGAAATGCCGGAGACGTGGGTTCGATTCCCATATTTTATTATTTATTCATTGTTAGTTTTTTGTAAGGTGTTTCATGCTATATAGTATGTACACTAGATGGCGCCCAGCATTGCTAAAAATGCAATAAAGGGAGTGGATAGATGGCGAAATTTTCGCGCTTTGAGCTCATCGGTCGCTCAGCTAAGTTGGTTAACCGGAAGACCTAGGTTCGAATCCCGCCAATTTTAATTTAAGTGCATGTCACGTGCACTGGAAGCACTTTTGCCTTTGCCTTTTTTATGTGAGAAAACGGCAAACGACCTGGCGGTTCGATATTAAGTGCTAACCGCCGCTCATGGACATCTGCAACACCCTTACGGTTGCAGATGCGTCGCCACCTCTTAACAAAGCGGTCACCTCGCCCGCCGGACGAAACGCGAAAGTGCAACACTTCCACTTCACGCCGGTCTTCTGTGAGGTCGCGGTACCAACCCGGACGGACCTGCCCACCCGTGCAACAGCGAAGATTACCGCGTGGCCCCACCACGGAAGGTCGTCACCACCCTGGTCGGGGCCCAACCAGTGGCGGGGGCCCGCGAACGCTTCTGAGGGGAGAAGTGCAAGGGCCCCACCGTCCAGGATCTCCTTCTTAGCGAGCTGCAGCTGCTGCCTCATCTCGCGCAGCATCTCCTGCTTGAAGGCGTCCCACTCCGCGGCGGACACGCAGCCGCCCTCGCCGCCGCCGTTCACCTGCTGCGGACGAACGGACACTTAAATCTATGCATAAACTTAAATGTATGCATAAACTTAAATGTATGCAATGTATGCATAAATTTAAATGTATGCATAAACCTTTGTACCTAATGTTATGTTGAGTTTCATTGTGTATGCTGTGTTTGCTATGTATAGAATGCAATCATTTTTTTTTATCTGTGTATATTTCTTTTTTAAACATGTTAGATTGTATTCAGTTAAGCAGACCGAATAAACTAAAAAAAAATAACTGTCCCAACAGAAACGCTTTCGATATTTTTTTTTCGCGACATCAGGTGAATCGGTTCACCTGATGTCGCCGTCGACGGCCGTTAGTTACACAGCTTCGTAACTTTCACAACGACTCGTTCGTTGAATATAGGAACCGGACATAAGTGCGAGTTGGACTCGTGTACCAAGAGTTCGGTACCATAATCTATAAAAACGGCAAAATCGTGTCCGTTATATGCGAGTCCCACTTAAATACTTGTTTTATTCTGTTTTTTAGTATTAGTTATAGCGGCAACAGAAATACAACATCTGGGAAAATTTCAACTGTCTAACTATTAAAGTTCGTGAGGTAACCCGGTAACGGACGGACAGACAGACAGACACAACAATTTGTGTGATCCACAGATTATTGGTTTTCACCTGGATTCTTGTTGATGCTTGTTCGCATAAAATGTATGTTCTTAAAACGTCCATATAACACAGGACAAGATGGGATTCGAACCCGCGCACCGCTCACCTTGAGGATGGTCTCCTCGCTGGCGGAGCCGAACCTCTTGCGAACGGAGCGCGGCGACTGGGCCGGCGGGGGTGCCGACTCGGAGCTCGCTGGGGGCAGGAAAAAAACAACTTTTAGAAGTTATACTTGTTTAGGCGCGTTATGATGAGAGTGAAATCTTAAGAAAGAAAGAACGAAAGAACGAAAGAAAGAAAGAAAGAAAGAAACGGGACAGAAAGGGGATACTCACGTGTGGCGCCGTTGCAGGCGGCCGGAAGCCTGTGCGGCAGCGTGGCCGACCTCTCCCACGTCTTCAGCGGCGTGGAGGTGGCGGAGTTGTCGGCCGACGACTCCTGCCGAACGAGGAGATTCAGAATTAGGCGTTCTTCAACCTTATTCACACGTGTATAAGTACATATATTGATTCGATTTTTTTTATACGCGATCAATGTTTATAAACGAGCAGTAAACGTGTTAAGAATATTGTAGTAGGCCTCTTATACAGGGAAGCCATGAACCGTGCAGCACATCCGAGCACACACAAACAAGAGTCTTAAACGGCGGCATGGAGAAGCCATGAAGTATCAGAGCGTCATGCCGTTTGCCGTGACGAGCCAGCCAATTTTGATGTTCCTATTATATATTATATACATGTGAACTAGTGCATCATGCCCCTTTTAAAATTAGCCCTTATCCCTGTACGAATAGGTCTCAATTCACCTCGGCGCGGTCGAGGTGCGCCCTCCGCCTGGCGAGGGTGCGCGCCATCTCGTGCATCATGCAGTGCAGCGTGCCTGCCGCGGCGCGCGTGGAGCCCCCCGACGAGGACGAGGAGCCCGAGTGCTCCGCCCCCGCGCCGGGCGGGGACGCCGCCTCGGCCGCCGCCGCCGCGCTCGCCTGCTGGGGGATAGGGTTCAAAGTCAACGGTTTTTTTTTTAAGTGGAAACTTCTTTTCGCGTTAACAAAACTCGTGGAACTCGCGTCATCGTCACCGAAACATTTTCCACGAGATGTTTTCAAAAAAGGAATCCGCACAAATATATTTGTAGTTATGGATAGGATATAAGTACTGTTATTATTATCGTTCGGAGTACTTATAAAAATGTTGAATTAAATATTATACAATTTTAATTTTGATACTGTTTTATATTTTCACTTCTGTCGACAGTCCCTGTGAGCCTCTATTGTTTTTTTAAAAAATTTCAACTTTAGTCTTTACTATAATTGTTTTACTAAAGACTTTGACGGCCTTTGGACAAGAAAGAGACATCTATTTCCGATTTCCCTTTCGATTAATTACTCCATTATTATATCCATCATATTATATTAGTACTCCAAACACTCTACATGAATTTGTATTCGGCTAGCATAAAGTCCAAATTGATTCTCGCCCCGTTGCTTACTCACCTTAGCTTGTCTCTTGAGGCGAGCCTGCTGCAGCTGCGCCGCGAAGCCGGTGGGGTCGGCGGGGGGCGCCGGGGGCGGTGGGGGCGGGGGAGGGGAGGCGCCCGCCCCCGCGCCCGCCCCCGCCGCCGCCGCCGTCGCCGCGGCGACCGCCCCCGAGCCGGGCGGCGGCGGCGGAGGGGGAGGGGCGGCGGGCGCGGGGGCGGGGGCGGCCGGCGGCGCGGGGGGCTGCTGCGGCGGCTGGGGGGGCTGCGGCGCCTGCGCCGGCTGTTGCTGCTGGGGGCGTTACGTTATTTAAAAAGTTATTAAAAAGCAAATAACATGATCGCAGAGATTCCCGCCGGTCCTTCTCGGGACATGTCTAATTTTGTGTGACCGTTGGTAGCTTTTTTTTTTGATTCACTTATTATTCGTGAATTAATATCAAACAGTCATAGTAAGAATCAATTTTCGACCGACTTCAAAAACGGAGCAGAGTCTCATTCGACTGTATTTTTTTTATGTTTGCTATCCCAGAACTTTGCGGCTGTGCGACCCGAATTTGATGATTCTTTTTTTATTTAAAAGCTGGTGCTTCCCATGTGGTCCCATATTATTTCATTTGTATTGGATCTTGGGCTCCGGAGATACGAAAGGAACTCCTGAAAATCACTTATAAAGTGAATACTGAACGAGAAATTCGTACATTAGAATCTAGACTATATGCTCTATGAATACCATACATATTTTAAATGTATTTTAGCGTCGATGTATGGAATGTATATGATTAGTAGTATTACTGACCATTGGCGGTGGTTGGGGCGCCGGCGGAGTGGGCGGCGCTGCCGGACCTTGCATTGGACCCTGAAAAATATACGAACGTCGCATTAATCTCAATTCAAAGATTTTTTTTACCCCGACTGCCGAAGGAGGGTAATATTTTTCGAGCATATTTCACATATTTATGTCGAATGCTTTAACAAGCGCTACAGCACAAACTTATGACGGTGTCATAAGATTCGTCTCAGTTGTGCGAGTGAAATGGGTGTGTTATTTCGATATTGTGTCCGCGTAAATGAAATATAGAAACAGTTGGAACTTTTTGCTGCACCTAAAAATGTATATCCATCCATCCATTCATTCATTCATTAATTCAAAGATACTGGTATCTTTTCATATTTAAGAGCGACGTGTCATCGAGCATTCACACGAATGAGATCAATAATAAAGTGAGCAAGGCAAACCGATGTCGCCGGTTCGAATCCAAGCGAGTTCGAATCTCAATTATTTATTCCAATAGAACTTAGAACAGAGCTCTTCCGTAAATTCCTATTAAAATTTCCGTTTCAAAAGTTTTCAAACGCTAAAGAAAGGAGTCTAGATTCGGTAGGCGAACGGAATGAGAGCAACTATTATAAAATAGCTATTAATCGCAACGGCAAGTCTAAACGGATCGAAGTGTGTGAATCGGGTGATGAGTTTTGGTACGAGAGATGATGAAATGTATTGCGAATGATCACGTCGCCATCGTCACCAGCAGAAACGTCGGGCTATGATCGCCGACTCAGTGGACGGATAGTAGACGTAGTGGTGATCAGTGTAGTGGTGATCAGTGTAGTGGTGATCAGTGTAGTGGTGATCAGTGTAGTGGTGATCAGTGTAGTGGTGATCAGTGTAGTGGTGATCAATTTAGTGGCGATCAGTGTAGTGGTGATCAGTGTAGTGGTGATCAGTGTAGTGGTGATCAGTGTAGTGGTGATCAGTGTAGTGGTGATCAATGTAGTGGTGATCAGTGTAGTGGTGATCAGTTTAGTGGTGATCAGTGTAGTGGTGATCGGTGTAGTGGTGATCAGTTTAGTGGTGATCAGTGTAGTGGTGATCAGTGTAGTGGTGATCAGTGTAGTGGTGATCAGTGTAGTGGTGATGATCAGTGTAGTGGTGATGGTGTAGTGGTAGTGGTGATCAGTGTAGTGGTGATCAGTGTAGTGGTGATCAGTGTAGTGGTGATCAGTGTAGTGGTGATCAGTGTAGTGGTGATCAGTGTAGTGGTGATCAGGTGTAGTGGTGATCAGTGTAGTGGTGATCGGTGGTATCAGTAGTGTGATCAGTGTAGTGGTGATCAGTGTGGTGATCAGTGTAGTGGTGATCAGTGTGGTGGTGTGGTGATCAGTGTAGTGGTGATCAGTGTAGTGGTGATCAGTGTAGTGGTGATCAGTGTAGTGGTGATCAGTGTAGTGGTGATCAGTGTAGTGGTGATCAGTGTAGTGGTGATCAGTGTAGTGGTGATCAGTGTAGTGGTGATCAGTGTAGTGGTGATCAGTGTAGTGGTGATCAGTGTAGTGGTGATCAGTGTAGTGGTGATCAGTGTAGTGGTGATCAGTTTAGTGGTGATCAGTGTAGTGGTGATCGGTGTAGTGGTGATGAGGCTCGCTTACGTTGGCTGGCGCCGGCAGGTTCTGGTGCGGCGGGACGGGGGGCGGGGCGCCGGCGGCGGAGAGCGACATGTTAGGCGGCATCGGGGCGCTGCGGAAGACATGCACACGTATGGTTTTTTTTTCGTGAAAAAGGGGGCAAACGAGCGGACCGGCCGCTTGGTGTGAGGCATTGGAAGACATGTACATGTTGTTTTTTTATTTGATTAGGCGGCGAGGGTGGTGGCGATTGACCTGTTAATAAGTAACAACCGCCGCCCGTGGACATTCGCGGGAGGCAATTAGGGGCGCGGGAGGCAAGCCTACCTGCTGGTGCGGTGGTGGCCCGACGGCGCGTGAGTGGTGTGGGGCGCGTGCGGCAGCGTGTGGGGGCCCAGGGCGCCATGAGCCGCGTGGGGTGGAGGCGCCGGGGGGGCGTTGCTCACCACGCTGGTCAGCTGTTGTGGGGGCGCCTGCAACAAAACATTTCGAAGACATGTGAAGTCCGCCAATCGCGTGTTGTAAAAAGCTCTGGTATCATCTGTGTAGAGGAAGCCTTTGTCCAGCAGTGGGACTTAGCTGTACCTTTACATTGCTGCAACGGACATGGGCCTGGTGTGCGGGATCTTGAAGGTACGGCTCCTTGATACAGTTTTTGGGATTTGATATTCAGTATAGACGGAAAAAGAAATACGGTTCCAGCTCGACAAACGGTTTAACGCGAAGTGACATTAAATTATAACAAAGGAAAACAAAAAGAGTAAGCAGAAACTACCAGATGGACGTTGCTATTAAAATTTTAGCAGGCGTTCCGAACACCTGGTGAATCACAAGAGCGAGCGACACATAGTGAAGCGGTCATTGCATCGTGGATTGGTGTTCAAATTCTGCAGCTGTAACAAATGCTGAGTGAGAGTCTAACCCTGGGGCCATATTGAGTAGGCGGTTTGATGTTCGCGAAACCGTCGTGATGCAGGAATTATTCTCAAGTACACACACTCGAGCACATTCTTTGACTTGAGAAGAGTGTGAAATGACAACGCGTGTGCTAGACTAGAAGGCGACGAGATACAAAGTCAATTTCTTAATACCTAAGCGTACAGACATCAAAATGATCCTTTTATATACCCATATGAGTTTCAAGCTGGCCCATACTATTGAATTTTATTATGATTGAATGCAATTCACGACCACATCCAAAGTGTAATAGAAGGAATTAATGTTCAACTATGGCACGGCCACTTAAAGTTTTTGTTTTTGTCCTGCCCGCATAGAAGACCGGCGTGATGTGGAAGTGTTACTTCTGCGTGCGCAAAGTGAGGTAGCCGGACCCCGCAGAAGTTTCATGAAGTGCGTGTCTCCTCTTCACGATAGTGACCGATCGAAGGAAAAATGCAGGCTGTGGCAAGGAAGTGTCAATGTCCCTAGCCCCTTTGTGCCACTGTCTGAGAAACTACCGCCTGGACATGAGTTACCATGGCTGACTTGGAAGTCACTAAATAGACTTCGGACGTAAGTTGGCCGAAGTAAAGAGAACCTGTTCAGGTGGGGATTCTCAGACGGTTCCAGCTTGGAGTGCAAATGTGGTGCTGTTCCCCCAACCATGCAACATTTGACGTCGTGCCTTGCGTGCCCAACAAACTGCACGCAGGAGGACCTGATGAATGCTGCTGACAGTGCAATTCATGTGGCTGAATTTTGGGCCGATACCGTGTGAATAAGTATTGACATCGACACGAAAATAAGAAGAAGCCGGAGCCCGCATTATTAAAAGCTGGCAACGCATCAGGAACCCTACGGGTGTTGCAAATGTCGATGGGTCGCGGCTATCACTTAACATCAGGTGAACCGCCTGCTCACCTGAAAAAAAAAAAAACGTGGAGAACAACTCACCTGGTGGTGTTGGTGCGGCGCGTGGTACTGGCTCGGCTGCTGGTGGTACTGCGGATGCTGTTGGATCGGCTGGTGCTGCTGTATCGGCTGGTGCTGCTGGATCGGCTGGTGCTGTTGCAGCTGGTTGTGGGGCGCGTGGTACTGCGGCTGTTGCAGCATGGCCGCGTCCTCGCGGGTCATTGTCCTGGAGCGAAGGATTGGAGCGATTACATGTCAGCGATATGCGATATCATTCATTGCTGCTTTCGACGTGACACCATCTAATCGGAGATGACGTATAATCATTATTCACGCGGGTGTCTTCGCAAATGTCACCTTGTTCTGAATCGAAGTTGCAACAACGCAATCCGCGATTGTGTGGTCGAGAGGGTTATACGTTACAAAATTAGTAGACCCTGGGACGACAATTTTCATTAACTAATTAAGAGAGAGTATCATGTGTCGTGACATCTTCATAGTGAGAAAAGTGATCGTGAGAAATTATACATCTTGTATAACTTGGGCACTGTAATGATTTCTCCCTTTATATAGCACAATTGATACACGCCATTAGAGAAGCAAGGGAGACAGATAAACTAGCAAATACGCATAGTGATATTGTTTACGAGAGGCTAAGTGGGTTTCATAAATATAAAAAAAAGAGACAGCTATCTGGCGTCATCTTCGAATGCTGCAAAAAGAGAGGAACCGTAAGAGCTCAGCTGAGCGGTACGCCCGTAAAGACAAGTGCTACACCCCACAGTTCCCACCTGTACCCCATGTCCTCGTCGTAGTGCGTGCTGTTGTGCCCGTTGTACGGTACCGGCGGGTTGGGGGGCTGCGGGGGCGGGGGCGCCGAGGTAGCGTTCGCCTTGTTCGCCAGGATCTGTTGAAGGAGGATTGTGATAGAGAAGCGAAATATTACGTCATTTCCTTCGACTTGCAAAACTCCAACGGGTGCCGACCGTTCCGATTAACGCCGATAGACGAAGTAGGCAGCACTAGGGAAGGTTGTACGGCCTTCCGGAAGACCAGAGTAGTGGAACTATTCATACTTTCAAGCCGCATGAATAAGACAAGACGACTGGTAAGCTGCTACGGACTCCCAGAAGATCAGAGTAGTGGAACTGTTCTCTAGTCTGACAATGGAGACAAGGCCGACTCATTGCGGAAAGGTAACGCTTCTGCAACCGTTTGGCGTTGAGCCACTTGCAAAAATTAAATTACACTATAATTGAAAGGGCCTGCTATTGATCTGTTCTTCTCGTATTTAATAATTGCATAAATGTAATTGTAATTTGACGACCCGATTGGCGTAGAGGGTAGTGAACCTGCCTCTTGGGCCAGAGGGTGTGGGTTCGATCCCGACTACTGGAAAATTGCAAAATCCCGAAATATTGCGTGAAGAACGTGGGCTTTTCCAATGTCTCGCAAAAGAAAAGTATGTTTAACAGTTATCTAGTACCCATAGTACAAGCGTTGCTTAGTTTAGGACTAGAAAATGTGTCATATATATTTATTAATTTTAATTCTAAACGTTACTTTCTGATGCCCTTATCTATGACCACTTACCATCATACATAAACGAAAAAAAAAAACCTAGACTATCGTAGATTATCTTATCAGTGGTTCGGAGACGGGGAAAGAATTGTCTTGGTAATTCAATCGAATTCAAAAAATGAGGTTCTTAGTTTGGTTCTATGTTTTTTATATATGTTTCCTCGCAACTCCGTCATTTATGAACCGATTTTAAAAATTCTTTTCTCATTTCGGTGCGATTTAGCTGAGTACAATCAGGGAACTCCTCAAAATAAAAAAGAACATGTATAGTTTTGTTTTTAATTACTATGATTTTGTGGCAGGTCCGCGCGACAGTGTTCGCTGTTGCACGAATAAGCAGGTAAGTACCACGACCTCACGGAAGACCGGCGTGAAGAGGAAGAGTTACACATCTGCGTTTCGCCAGCTGAGCGAGGAAGGCGGGGCCCAATTTATTAAAAGGTGGCAACGCATCTGCAACCGTACGCGTGTTACAAACCGATCCATGGGCGGCGGTTATCGCTTAACATCAGGTGAACCGCCAGCGCGTTTGCCACTATATTCTTACATTACAAAAAAAGTAGTCTCATGTAGTCTCCTGTAGTCTGTTGTCTGATGTCGTTTGCTGCACATGTGAAAAAATCACATTTAAAAAAAAATGTCGTCTCCAGACACGTCGAATTTTCCCCCAACACCCGACGTCGGAGAAAGAATGGTGGCAGTGGATCACCTCGAGCGTGTGCATCATCGCCCTGGCGAAGCTGTCGGCGTCCTCGCGACAGGAGAAGTTCAGCCCGTAGACCTGGCGCGCGTCCCGCCACTGGTGGAACGTGGCCGTCGCCTGGTTGTACTTGAGGCCGCGGACGATGCCGCAGTTTATCACGACCTGGACGAAATTAGGGTTCCGTTGATTGAGCAGAGTCTAAATAGTGAAAGTAACCCTCAACTAGATTGCGTAGAATAAGTAAATCTTTTATGGCACAATGTATACGCTTTTACAACAAAATCCCAGAAAACTTTCAAAATGAATCCGTTGCTAAATTCAAAAAACTTGTAAAGGAACGTTTGTGTGTTAATGGCTATTATAGTATTAGCGGTTTTTTTGATAGATAATACACTCTGGAATGAATTGATCGCTCCAGGCTCTTTCAAGTAGAATTTAATAAATTGTACACATGTTTGTTATTTTTTGTCAAGTTAAAAAAATGTCCCGCTGAGTTTCTCACGCCGGTTTTTCTCAGATGGCTTTCCTTCCGAACCGGTGGTAGATTTTTTTTGACTTTCAATACGTAAGTGTAATGCTTCTATATTGAATAAAGATATTTGATTTTGACTTTAATACTAACGTAGCGTAGGTTTGGGATGTTATAGGATACAGGTTTTTGAAGGTACTCGTTTAACTCAAATATCAGTATAGGCAACGATAACAGACGGTGTCCGATAAATAATTGCAAACTTTGCATAATAAGAGTGTGAGCGATCTCCCAGTCAACATAGTACTTTACACACGGGACTGTTAAATGCCCTTCGTCTTTACCATATCGGCTCCCACTTTATTCCACCGTGCGGCCCATAAATGAAAATACGCCGTACAGTATCGGTCCGAATACGGTAGTCCGTTCAAGGACGTCCACTAGGAAATTTCTCGAATATCTACACCAGACGGGTTGGGAAATAGCGGGCTGCGCTGAATAACGAAGGCGATTTCGAAATGCCTCCCACCTAAATAGGAAAGAGTAAAAATACTCATTCGGTATATACATATACATGTATGTACTGAATGGTCACACTTAATTGTGGTAGCTTTCGAGTAGCATGCACTAGGAGTTTGAGATTGTAATTAGTGTGTATATATAATCATCAGCCTACCCTTATCCCACCTAGGTGGGGTCGGCACAGCATGTGAATTATGTTGTAAGCGGTTTTGCCAATATTTTTTTTTCGACCGACCGCCTGCTTGACGTCAAACCTCCTTGGGAAACAAACACCCAGATCAGGAACAATTATCTGTGGGTCACACAAATACTTGTGCCGTGTGAGAATCGAACCCACGACCCCCGACGACGAAGCCAATAGCTTAGCAACGGCGCCACTGAGTCGTACAGGAAGGCTTTTCTAAGTGTATCCATATTTTTTTATTAAATTCTAGACATAAATGATGTTATATAAAAAATGATAAATATTTAAAATCACTCGTAATTAATTAATTACATTCATTTTAACTTATCTCGAAAGTGTGTGAATTATGGGCAACTCATTTATTTTACGCACGATCATGCATAACTAACAAGCACACAAGTTCGTTTCAAAAGTGTACGACGTATTTATGAATGACTACCGCGTTGTCAACAAGTTCTGTTTATTAGGGAATAGAATGGCAATTTTTTTGAGAAAAAAAAATTGTTTTTATTTCAATAAACGATGATACTACCGAGTCTGAACCTCCTGTGTGAATTTGGGCACCTTTAGAAAAGTCACCCTGTATAGTTGAGGATAAAGCACCCGCTAGCCCATTCTAATCCGACGAGATTTAAACATACAAAAAAGCTTGTATGTCCGCGTGTATCATGATCCTTTGTCAAAAGTCTGTCCAAAGAAATGTAAGTTTTATAATAATTATAATAATAATAATACTTTATTTGCTATAACCCAAAAAAATTTGAAAAATACATAAAAAAATATGAACCAAAAAATAAATACAAACAAACTATAATATACAAAAAATATATAAATAACATTTTGGCAAAAAGGTAATAAGCTCAGCGATTTCTGAGAATTTCTCAGTGCCGATTTTCAGCTTATCGCTTTGTATAAAAGCTTTACATCATCATTTACAAATATTGACAGCGGTAGTTGGCATATTTTGTTCAGTTAGGTCTAGATTTTATAGGTTTCATGCAAGTCACTCACCTCGTGATCGTTCAGTTTCCTGCCGACCACCCGGAACGTGTTGTGCTGGGTGTGGTGGTAGATGTGGACCTTCGAGAGGCCCGAGCTGGACCCCGAGGGGATCCACCTCTTGGCGTGGTCGTCGTACACCATCACGGAGGCGCGGGCGCTGCTTATCGATTGCTCGCTGGAAAGAAAGAGACAGACGGTAAATATTAGTGCTCTATTGTTTTTTTGTTTTTAACCGACTTCAAAAAAGAAGCAGGTTTCTCAATTCGACCATATATATATATTTTATTGTGTGTTCGCGGATAACTTAGCCGTTTATGAACCAACTTTGACGATTCTTTTCTTGTTGGAAAAGAGATATCCTAAGGGTGGTACCATAATAAGGAAACCCAGATCTTATGATGGCATACCAGAGGGATCGAGGGCAATCCTCGAATGTTATAGTTGTTGACAATGTTTTTAGTTTCCTGTATGAAGTCGGTTTTTTTTTGTTCAAAATTATATGTGAGAAAGGTGGAAAACGAGCGGGTGGTTAAGCCGGTGTTAAGTGATTGTGTTTGTATTGTATTTTGTCTCCCTTACACACAAAATACAGGTTAGGTAGCAAGTCTCAACGGCCACTGCAACCTAGAAGATCTATTGCAGTCTTCCCATCGAGAACATTGCCCCCCTTCCCCCTTATTGTAGTTTACTGTATAGCATTATCCTGTGCTGTAAGGACATTTTACATAAATAAATAAATATCATGTGGGCAAACACCCAGATCCGAAACAATTATCACACACAAATAGTTATCTCGTGTTGGAATCGAACCGACGACCCTTGAAACTTTTGCATTCACAGAAGCTGCGAAACCATTGACTGCTTTCTTTGAATGAAAATATTTTCTGTTACTTATTTGATGAAATTTTATTTACTTTATTAAAGGCCAGTTTCAATATTCTATCTGTAGATTTGGTTACTAGAGATAAGTATTTGAAAATAGCTCTCACGTCAAAAGTTCAAAAAAATCTCTAGTAACCGAATCTACAAATAGACAGAATATTGAAACCAAAATAATAAAAAGTAAATTAAAAAAAAAAAGCTGTACTTAAACCACTAATAGTTGTATCGCCATTAAGAATCAAACTGGCAAGCACTAACAAATGATAAAAAATAGTTCGCCGAATGTCTACGCATCTAAAATTCGAACCACTTTAGAGTAGAAAGAAACGAAGAGATTGGTACTTTCATAAAATTTAAATATTACCCAGTAATTTAGAATTCCTTTTACAGTTTTGTGCTAATCATCAAGATGAAACTTAAATATAACGGACGAGATATCAAAAATATTAAAAGTAACATTTAAAGCACTTTTTATCTTTTGATGGTCTGTTTCATAGTTTTTTTTTTTATCATTTGATGTTTTTTTTTCTTTCGCTCCATATGCTTAAATTCTTTGACCAAAGACGCTATGGAAAGTTTCACGAGCTTGATAATACCTTATATACCTTGATAACCATACACTATTGGAGTCACTCGCATGTATAGTATGGTATACGCATGCGCCGAAAATTATGTACCATACATTATGTACCGGAAGGCCGTCTGCATTAACACAAGCTGGGGTGACCATGGTCATGTCGACTGAGTTGTTACGACCTCACCGAAAGGGACAGGGGGCCTTCGCCAACCGAAATTATGTCCCAAGGTTTTGGGGACGATTGTCGTATTGTCACTGGATTGTCAATGGATAACAAAACTCCCTTCGTAGATATTCCAGTTTCAACTGCTTACTGCTGCATTTTTATGTGGGACGGTGTCAACCGCTGCCCACAGAAATTCGCAACACCCAGTTGGGTTGCAGATGCGTTGCCACCTTTAATAAAGTGGACCCCGGTTACATGTCGGTCTTCCGTCAGGGGCGTGGTACTTCCCCGGACGGAACTGCCAAATCTTGCAACAGCGAAGACTGCTGCGTGGCCCTATGCGCTGGCTTAGTAATGTCCACGTCATATACCATCGATCCATACTAATATTATAAAAGCGAAAGTAACTCTGTCTGTCTGTCTCGCTTTCACGCCAAAACTACTGAACCGATTTAAATGAAATTTGGGACCCAGATGGCTCAGAGCCCGAGAAAGGACGTAGGCTATTTTTTAATTGGAAAAAAAATCTTCTAAAGGGTTGAAAGGTTAAAGAAAGATATTTATTTAAGCTAGTTAGCGAATAAAGTAGATAATAACCGCGGCACTTGATCTCCGCTACCGTTCTTTGCTCTCGCCAAAACTTCACTCGACCAAGCCGCACTTTATACGGCGAGTGTGAACGGTCAGGGAGTACCGTTAACTACGTCATCTCGCGGTTTAGCTGCGGCCCGTATGATAGGATAGTTAACTGTGCACAGAGTCGTGAATATATTGCCGGTTAAACGTAGCTTTTTTTTTTATTTTAGTAGAGCAACGACAGTTTACCGAAAGGCCAGCCAGACTGTGGCTTTTTGTTTTAGTTTTTATACTAAATCAGTCGAACCAATTGCCTTATAAATAAATAATTAAATATTTTAGGACACATTTTTACACGACCTTCTCTAGTCCCAAACTAGGCAACGCTTGCACTATGGGTACTAGATAACTGATAAACACACTTAAACATACTTTTATTTTGTAAATAAATGCATATTATACATATTATATAAACACCCAGACACTAGAAAAACACTATCTTCATCACACAACATTTTTCCAGTAATGGGAATCGAATCCACAGCCTCTGGCGAAGGAGGCAGGTTCACTAACCACTACGCCATTCGGGTCGTCAATAACGACGAAGCCTTGGCAACTGTGCCACGGAGTCATCAAAATTTGGTCATAATCCCGCAATTACATCGACGAATATAATTGCGGGAACGAGGAACCGATTGGCGTCGTGAGTAGTGAACATGTCTCCTGCGCCTGAGGGTGCGGGTTCGATCCCCACTACTGGAAAAATATTGTGTCAAGAACATAGTGTTTTACCAGTGTCCGGGTGTTTATATGTATTTAGTTACAAAAGAAAAAGTATGTTTAAGTGTGTTTATCAGTTTTTTAGTACCTATAGTGCAAGCGTTGCTTAGTTTGGGACTAGTGAATGTTTTGTAAAAATGCGTCCGCAAATATGTAAAGAAACGTCCCAAAGGTCTGCGTCGGCGGGGGCGGCCGTCAAAGGTCGCAAAATTACGCAACCAGCCGCTATGTGAGCCAAGCGATCTTTGGCAATTCTGAACCACCCACGTCCCTAAGGCACTTGTTAAACATTGAGTAATAAATGAGTTTTCAATACTGTCGTCAGTGTTTCGTCGTCCATTCATTCATTTCGAATTGGAAAACAATTATAAGAATGGAACTCCGACAGTCTTCAAGACGTATTCGAAATGCTTTCATTTGATTATTTTATTTTTTTTATAGAAACAGCAAATATATTATTCTAATAAATGCTTTGTAAGAATAAATACAAAAATACAATATGTATAAATTCTTTTAAAACTGTAGTAGCTCTCGATCTAATATTGCAAAATATGAATTATATTACGTATTGGAATATGGTCCACAAATACGAGTAAAAATTCCCTACTTTTTGATTTTTCTAATGGGAAAAAAATTTAATCATATCATATAATTTAATTTTTGAATCATTCATAGTTACATATGAGCGAAACAAAATTTGCATTAAATGATAACAAGACAATTTTCGATATGGATTCAAATATGGAACGTGAGAAGAGTAAGCTTTGCGCAAAGAAATAAAACTTATAACACTTAACAAAAATATTCCCCCGAACGAGATTCTAAAAGATCGTGGTTAAAGCTGAACTAAACTTGTCAACGGGATTTGAGTTAAAAAGTGTAGGTGGGAGATTTGGTACAGCGACATTCGTTACGAGGTCGGAATAAAAAATCAACCTTTGGAACGTATCTAAGAGACACGCGGAAAGATGGTTCGAATTATATTTATATATATTTGGGTGTTTATATAATGACGAATAATATGTATTTATGTACAAAAGAAAAGTATTGTTACGTATGTATATAAATTATAATAACGTGTGAGAATTTCTCACTCCTCCGTCCGCGCAATTTTCGTAAAAAGGGGTATAAAGTTTTTGCTTCACATATTAATATATAGATATATGTATATCTTATATCTATCAGTTACCAGGATACACAAAAGTAAATAGGACGAGTCGTTTCCAATGAGGTTGCCATCATGATACGCTATGACTCAACACTGGCAACCGACATGACGGTGTTTTGAAAAAAAAAATAAACTCGATCCACTTGCAACGGAAGGCCGTCGCTTGCAACACGCCGATCTCGCGGCAACGAAAGCGAGAGTGGGCCGTGATTTGCATACGAACAATCGCGGGTCCGATTTCGCAATGCGACACGTGCAAAAACACCGAACCCTACCCGGCCGAGATGTGATAACGGTGACGAGTGCAGCGTTCGCTTTCACGGCGTGGCAGTGGTAGAACGTTGCAACACGGTGAAATGGCAGAACGTTGCAATATGCGTTTTTCATCGCTGACCGAATCTTTTGGTCTGACTCTTTAGTAAGGATAAGCGTCACACCAAAAGATCCTTACTTCCTTACTAATATTATACAGGCGAAAGTTTGTACGTATAGTTTTGACACGAAAATAGTACTGAATGGATTTTAATGAAACTTTACAATAATATAGCTTAGCTTATACATGAGAATAAGACAAATCAATCAATCAATTCAAATAGACGCTTGGGCGTTCTTATGAATCGTCAAATTTTACATAAAACATTATACATATAGGTTCGTAAGGTACCACCGGTTCGGAAAGCAGTTTCTGTTGAGAAGAGACCGGCAAGAAACTCAACAGTTGCTCTTTTTCAAAGATATCAGTTTACAATATAAAATACCGGTATAATAGTCTTATTCTACCCTACGTGAGTTTCAACAGTATCAACAGTATCAACTCCACACATTGGCGTCGTCGAGATATTCCGCAATAGTGTAATATGCTTTAACAATAAGTTGACTTTTGATTTTACGTTTAAATTGATCAAGCGGCAAACTTAATATCGACTGTGGGATTTTATTATACATGCGCACACCTTGCCCCATGAACGACCTGAAGACTATAATAATAAGACAAGGCTATAATTTATATACATATTTTATGTACAT